AGTCATCCAGGACACCAGCACTAAGTAAGGGGGGAATGTCCTCACAGATGTGGGATGCTCATCCATCCCTATCACAGATCTCTGCCCCAGAGAGAGTTTCCTAGTGATGTCTATGCATCCCCCATTGTTGAGAAGGAGCTTTTCCCAATTATAATGTTTTCATGTTACCAGAAATGATACCTAAATTGGAAAGTGCACAAGCTGTGCTCCAGGAGTTTGTATTATTGCTCTGAGTCCTAAAGACTCAGAGTGATTAAGTCACTTGCCCAATGTCATGTAGCTATTAAGTGGTAGTAAGGAGATTTAACTCCAGGTCTTTCAAACTCCAGAGCCCGCACCAGGGTACCAGCTAAGAAAGCTGCAACACCTCCTGCAAAATAGCTGGACCCTTTGGAAAGCCAATGCACGCCCCTTTGCCTGCTCTGCTTTAAAATATCATTTGCATCCCCTAGCTTAACGCTTTGCTCACCATTAAAATACAAATCCCCCTGGGGAGAAATAAAAGCTCTAAGTTGTTGTCAGTCATTTATGCCTCAATGGGAATGAGTTTCCAATTCTTCCCTAGGAATAAATTGTAATAAATGGGATAAGGACACTGAAACCATGGGGGAGGGATAAAAGGGGCAAAGAGGGGCTTTGTAATAAAATGTCAGGCCCCTCTCCATTTTACAGCCCTACCTAGTTTGAGACATGTGCTTTTAAGATTCTTTTTTATATATATTAAGTATTTTTAAAAGATTTTATTTATGCATACAAAACTGGGGTACAGGCCAGAGATGCAGGGGCCATGAGAGAATTTGCCAGAGACAGAATGGGGAGCAGAATAGACAGATCAATGAAGTACACTGCTGAGGGGAGCAGCAGACGAGACAGGAGAGGTCTGCCGCATCATGTGGGTCACCTCCGGGGCTGGGGATCGAACTTGCACCAAAGTGGCCACAGCCAGCTTTGCAGTACTGCGCTCCAACCTGCTGTGCCACCAGAGAGGCCTGCTTTTAAGATTCTTAAATGCCATCTCTACATGTGTATACCACTTACATGCAGAGCCATTTCGAGGTTTTCTGCCCCAGTCATCTGGAGTTGAGGTCATGGGCATGATGTGATCTAAGGTGCATACTGACCTCACCCATTGTGAAGCATTCAGCAGCAGGACGCGTTCACTCTTGGCTGCTTAGGTAAACCTGAAGCTCCTGGTCTTTGCACATTTCCCAGTTCATTCTCTTGAGCCTTAGACCCTTCTGTGCATGTTTAAATCCCGAGCAGATGGAGGCACGAGAGCTAGTAGGAAAGACTTGGAGGAGTCCCTTCTGCCCCGTCTGGGTCTATTTGCCAAAATAAATGACATGTATCAGGGCAGGGCATTGGTCCAAGCCCATTGAAATTCTGTTAGCAGTCCAAACAGTGATGGTGTTTTAGATTGGTTCTGTGAAATGATCAGGGTTAGGAAGAGAGAACTGATGTGTGAGCATCTGGCGGCTGCAGCCTACTGATGGGGACAGTCCCAGGGGTGGGCCTGGGGTGCGGAGGTGGGGGCAGCCTCCAGCACCCCCCGTAGGACATCTGCCACTGGCAAATGAGGAAACAGTCACATACTGGCAGCAGGCAGTCTGGTTCTTTAGCAGCTATGTGACCTATACAAATTCCCTCCTCTTCTCTCTTTATACCCCCCCATGTATAAAGTAGAGCCTAAATGGAATGGTCTCGAAGGACCCCTCCTGCTCAAACACTCTTTGACACTGGTTTGATTTCTTTTTCTCTGTAGTGGGTGAGGCCCACCCACACACCTGCTCATCTGTAGCAACTATGTTCTCACACTGACCTCTGCTGGCCATTATGAGAATTGCCACCAATCAGTCTGGAGGAAAACCAAAAAGAAAAAGAAAAACAACAGTTCATCAGTGATTTACTATTAAACCTAAGTAGTATGCTGGGCACTGCAACACAAACCCTGTGCTTTGGCAACCAGGAAAAAAAAATATCATAGAGCTATAGCCACAGAGTAAGCAAATCTAGAGATGGTTGACAAAACAACCCGCCAAAAAATGTCTCATTTTTTTCCCTTTGCTTTTTTGTTTGTTCTCGGTGCTTTGTGCCGCTCTCTAAAAGGACCTCAGTGGGTGGGAAGGCTCCTGTCTCATAGCCTATGACTAAAGGCTCTGGAAGCGTCTGGTCCCCACACTGAGGAGGTAATTCTGTGCCAGCAATGCCTCAGAGGCCTGGAGACATCCCACAGATGCTGCTTCTGGCCCTGAGGTCAGTCTCAGATGTTTCTAGCTGAGACCAGCACAGAAGGACTCATTCCGTCTAAGGGGTGCCATTTCAAGTGTCCCTTTGGTAAAGGAATTCGCATTAATAGAATTTATGCATTCTTTGAGAGACTCCTTTAAGTGCTCTGGCCGGAACCCAGGAGTGGACTGCTGGACTGTGGCAGATTCAGCATGCCCACCCTTCCAAGAGAACCCTGCCTTTCCTGGCTGGAATCAGATTTCCTGTTAAGTCCAGACCTAGAATTACCTCACTCCTAAGTCTCCTCACAGAGAGTACGCTCACAAAGGCAAGAGCTGGAGTGTGCCAGCCTGTAGGGCACCCATGCCAGGTACTGTTGGGCCTAGTGATGGGAGCAGAGTGGGAATTTAGCCACTCTACAGTCTGCTCTCCCACTAGCCATTCCTCCTGTCCTCACTCTACCTCCCTTCCTCAGAGGCGAGAAAGCTTAAGTCAGAGCTCCTATTTGGGTCAAGCATTCTGTGCCCTGACTGGATGCTCTCAACATGGCCTCAGCCACCCTGTCCTGCCCCTGATCCTCCCACCAACCAGCCCACTCTTCACCAACAGCTGGTTCTTATCTGTCTCCTTTGTTCCAGCCTCAGGCAAGCTGCCCTGGCCTCATGTTGACCCACACATATTCTCCTGAATGCTCCTTGATGAGTTTCAGCCCTCAAACCCTGCCTTCCTCCCATGCAGCCCTGCCCTCAAACCTTTAAGGCTTCCCTGTTTCCTACCACATCAAGTCCTCAACTTTCCTGCCATCCATTTCAGTTTGGGCCCATCCAGCCTCTCCATGCAGCACATACCTTGGCCTCCCAACTCCCCACCCCGCCCCACCTCACCGCAGTCATGGACAGCCTTCTACAAACCCCCCATGGCCAACCCCGCGTTTGTGTTCCCATAGCATTTATTTTCTGTTCTGAGTTTATTCGCTTTACTGTGTTTTTTTTTTTGTACATTCCTTTTGAAAGCTGGACCCATGCTTTCAACTTGATAATCCTGAACAGCACCCCAGAACTATTTTTTTATATATTATCCCTTTTCTTTCACACACGTACATGCACACACATGTGTATTTTATAAATGTATACAAGAGTAATAACAATCAGCATAAATACAACTGCAAAAACAAAAAGTGAAAGCTCACCCGTCATTCTCAGGAGGGAGCCTGTGAAACAGTCTCCAACCTCCATCTCAGGTGTCAGGGAAGCTTGAGTGGTGAGTGTCGATCCCAGAGAATCTCACCTTCTTGGGAAGTGCATCTTTAAAAAAAAAAAAAAAAGATTTATTTTATTTATGCATACAGGAGCTAGGGGAAGGCCAGAGTGTTGAGAGGATTCACCAGAGACCCAGAGACAGAATGGGGAACAGAACAGGCAGATCTACTGAAGTACACTGATGAGGGGAGCAGTGGGCAAGACAAGAGAGGTCTACCGCTCCATGCGGGTCATCTCCCTGGCTAGGGATCGAACCCCTGCTGCAGTGGCTGCGGATAGCCTCATAGTGCTGAGACATAACCCCTTGCACCACCAGGGAGGCCCAGGAAGAACATCTTTTACTTCTTTGTAAGAGCCATAGGTTTTTGTGGGCTGAATAGACACTGGAAACTGTGGGTGGCCACTTGTAGTATGAGCCCCCTAGAATGTGACTCTAGCCACCCCCAGAAACCATCTCTCTTGTTTTTCAAAGTCCACCATAAAAGACATATTTAATGGGCTTTTATCAGAATTTGCACTGGTTTCTAGAATACTTCGGACAGCCAGGAAAGGGACCAAGAAGTAGAGGTAGGAAGCGCTTAGGAAAATAAGCTTTCTACCTGATGGGGTGGTGTTTTCTCTGAGGTAATGCACGTTACTAATGCTTTTCATTTTTCTGCCAAGAAAATTCATTTCCTACTGGGATTTGTTCTAAATGATAGACTAGGCTCGCCTGTGTTGTACCCACTGGGGTTAATTCTCTGTCTCAGTGAGCTTTAAAATGTCAGCCTGAACTCTCAGGCTTAATTGTTACAGACACTTTATAACCAGGGCATTCAAAATCCTCAGGCTGCTCCCTCTTGCTATCATAATTGATACTTAATGAATATTCTCAGACTCCTTGAATTTTGCACATTCAACACTCTACAGAGGATGGGGGTTAGGGAGGAAGCAAGTAAACAATTAGAGCACCTGTGTGTGTGTGCGCGTGTTCCCCTTCAGTGTCTGGTCTCCAGGTGCAGTGAGGGGTCCTGGGGATGTCCTATAAGACTGAGCTCTGCCAGATTGGTGAGTCCACAGGATCCTGGGTTCCCCCCTTTCTGTACCCCTGAGGCACAGCCTTTTCTGGACTTCACAGCAAGCATGTGGCTGGCCATTTGGATGTGAGTTATAAAATGTCACGATGCTCTCCAGCATTCTGTTCTTTCAGTATTTTGACAATCTGATGGATGGCCTGGCATTAACTAGGAAGAGGACAATATCATCCAGCATGAATAGCTAATCTCCTAAGAAGTACAAAGTTGAAGGATCTTGGTACACATGAATCTTATTAAATGTGCTTCTAAAATATGTTTTATCCAAATGAGCTTAGCAACCCCTAAAATAGTCTTTTCTGATTCCTGTCTGGAACTTTGGCATGCTTCACGGATCTCTAAGCCAGTATTATTTAGTGAAGTGATGACAGTGTTCTCTGTGCCTGGGAAAGAGGGACGAACAGGCGCTAAGCTCTCTTTTTACTCATTGTGTCCATCTTAGGGGCTACCTGGACCAATTGGAACTCAAGGCCCAACAGGTCCTCAAGGATTCGCTGGCTCTACTGGTTTATCGGGGTTGAAAGGAGAAAGGGGCTCCCCAGGCCCTCTGGGGCCAGATGGACCAAAAGGAGATCAGGTAAGAGCACCAAAGCTTGGGTTGCCTGTGATGCATGGGTCATTAATATGAAGTTAAGTGTTCTCGCATCTCAGCCGTGTTCATTAGTGGAAATGATGTTATTCCTGAATACTTTGATGCCTGGCTACACACTTTAATCAGAGACTGCGTGGGTGGTGTGCTGCGGCTGGACGAGCCCGTTTCCAGTAAGACTGAGGGCAAGCAAGCCACAAAGCGACTGTGTTAGCTACTTGCTAGATCAGTGGACTCCCTGTGGTGCGGAGTCATGTGGGTTGACCGGGGCACGGGGCAGAAGCCCAACCACCTAAACAACAGACATCAGGAATCCAAGCAAGGAGACTGAGCAGCAAGAGGTTCGAATGCTTGGAAGCAACCTGAGCTACAAATACAGGGAAAGAGGTGCAAGACAGGAGATTGAGCATGTCATGGTGGCTGGCTGAGTTTAGCAGCTCGGTTTATGTTCCCTGCCGATTTTAGTGACCTACTATTCACCTTGGTGAGGGATGTATTCCCACCGGAGGATTCTGGGGGTGGCCAAAGCGATGACACCCAGCACTAGACAGACAAGCTCAGCAACAGTTTATTCATCACATACATTCAGTGTACAGGGAAGGAGGGCACCAAATGCCATGTAGGGGCACAAAGGGCTTGTATTCTGGCCCAGAAAGAACCAGACGTGTCTGTGGGAGGCAGATTTGTAGTATCAAGAAGGTGCAGTGCCCCTTGGTTCCTGAAGGAAGGTGTGATTGACTCATGAATAATTCAGTGAGTGATGGGAACTGAAACCACTAGTTAGGGATAAGCACTTGAACTGTTAGATAAGGGGGGCCACTTGCCAAGGGGCACTTATCTACAGGACTGGGATGGAGAGGGGAACTCTGCCTTAGGCCACTTGAGATCTTCCTTGTTTTCCCCAAATGTCAAGGCAGCATGTAATACGGAGCCATACTTTTAGGCCTTATACCTAAGGCCCAAGACAATCACTTGTCTTAAACACAGACATGTCCAAGACTTCAGGCAGAAGTAAGCGGTCACTTGGAACTAGAGTGGGAGCAAGGTGATACAACGTGGAATGGAGATACAAAACACTTGGTCGTATATCACATGAGCATACTCTGCATCACAGGGATCAAAACTGGATTGTCTCATGTTCTTTTCTCTACTTCTTTTTAGGGTCCGATGGGAGTTCCTGGCTTTCTTGGCATCGATGGAATTCCAGTGAGTGAATGAGACCACAGAGGCATTTTCAATAGACCCTCTAGGTTGTGCTTCATAGCTGAGACACTGCCTTAGCAACATCCTTTCTCATGTACACATGCTCAGGCTCGAGTGATAAGGTGTTAAGGCAATGGTCACACACACTTTCCCTTGGATTCGGGTACAAGCAACATTAAATCAGATGGTTGGGGAATGCTAAGACACGTGCAGATATAAGACACCATTAATATCTTAGCAAAATTAAGCGAGGCCTTGTGGGTTGAGGGGACTATTAATTGGGGGTGAGGGATTTGGCTCTAAAGTGTATAGACAGAGCCACATTAGAGCACATACATATTCATTATAAGAAAATTAAGAAGGTACATTAAATTAGGTTTAGTGATAGCCTGATACATTGTGTTCCCGTAATTTGTTCTCTTCAGCCTTATCTCATTTTAGAGTGAATTTCTCTTTAGTTTTCACAAAAAAAGACTGCTCCAAAGATCACTTGGAAACAGCCTCTTAAATTTGTCCAGATTTTGCTGGAGCTGAGCGCTTGCAGACATCTTCTCCCACTCCATGAAGTCCAGTCCCTTTGTATCTCCATTTTTACCTTACATCACTGCTTCTACCTCCACTAGAAATTCCATGGTAGTGTTTCACCAGCCTTAAAGTAGAGTATTTGGAACTTGCTGGCTGTCACTTCTTAGTTATGTTCTTTGCTGTGTTGCTCTACATTGAGTCTTCAGCCTGAACTGTGTCTATGTGTAGTGGTGGTTTTTCAACTTTTTTGAAGAAAAGAATCAAGTCTAGTGTGGAAGTTCATCTTCCAGAACTGGGAAAAGCAGAGCTCCTTCGATTGATGGAGGTCTTCTTGCACCAACCTGTAAGGGGTTCTTCCAAACTACAGAAAACATAGTTGGGGATATCCTGGGCTTAACAGCTTCTTCCGTTTTATGACATAATCATCTAGTGTCAGAGAAAGGGGTTTTGAATCTCTGCCCATCTAAAGGTAGTTCTCGAGTTCCTGTTAGGTTCTAGCACTCTACTGTGGGGATACAGAGAATGCATATGTCTCTAGTTCAAAGGCATTATCATAGGTTCCACATTCTGGCCAGGTCTCACATATATTTGTGCATTTGGAGAATAGAAGGCTCACAACTTTGTATCTGTTACATGTATCAACAAATCTGCCATTGCTTGCCTAAGTCTTATTCAACTGCAGTCTGCACAATGCCCAGAATTGGACCCATAGGGAAATAAGTAGATTGGTTCTCCTATCATGATATCCCCCTGCCATGTTAGGGCTGTGTTCCTGTGTTCACAGTGGACGAAGGAAACTAACAAACCAGAGGCCTCCTTTTCCATTTGTTCCATGGAGTTGGCTTCACCAGAGATGAGTGGAAGATTTCAAGCATGCACTGGTACTATGCCCCTCCCCCACAGTCTCTTCTCAGTGGCAACTGGAAGTGAATCCTTTGATACAGATGCCGGTTTCAATTCTGAGTTGGAATTTGCACCAGACTCCAGTTACATACTTTGGCTTCCAATTTGTGATCAAGAGAGCCCAAGGACATGTAGGAATTGATGACTTCACTTTAGGTCATCACTCTTGGGAGAATGCATTGCAGCTATCCAGATTCCCCCAAATGAGTCTACTGGTCCCAGTAGAAGTCTCCACTCTCATGGCTCCTCCCCTGGTCCTTTCCTCCATCAAAGTTTGTATCTGTTTTCCTTCAATTTTGATTGCTTTAGTTTTAGGCTCCAAGGCTCACTCCAGGAAATTATTCTCCCTTGTCCTTGCCCATTCCTCTGGCTACTCAGGAATGGAGGAAGAAATAGATACTGTACCCCAAAGGGGTTAACTGAATGGACCTAATGGTATATTTAAAGGATGTCGGAAGGATTAAGGGAAACAGTGGATAGTGAAACAATGAACATACCTAGGTTTCCTGAAGGGGAAACCAAGTGAAATGAGCAGGCATGGAATAGCAGCTGCCTGACAGAGCTGAGATGGTAGAGAAATGTGGCCATTAGCAGAAGAGAGCCATGGAGACTGGGCATCAGGGATTCACCAACGTGGGCTCCTTCTCCTGCCATCCAGTCTCATTCCTGTGTCGCCCACTGACCAAATAGAACTGAGGCAAAGGAAAGGGAGTAGAGGTGATGTAATCCACAGAAGTCAACCTCCTGAGACTCATATCCCGAGAAGCTGGGTTTTCAGGGCACACATAAATAAATAGCCATCTCAGTTGAAAGAAAAAAGTTAGTAATGCCAGTAAGTTTTCTCCATTTCTAAAAATCACCACCCAAGTCTGGAGATGCACAAATTGCAGCAAGTTTATTGCAAAAATAAGTTTATTGATCACTCCTCTGAACTCATTATTCCGTTCTCCGGAAAGTTAGAATCATACTTGTGTATTAACAGTCTAGCTCCAATTACTATGATAATAACGAAACAGAATTCAGTGGAGCATCTTCTCAATGTGAATATGACAAGAAATTGTTTTCTCTAAAATTTGAAAAGTTGATTTCTAAGAACATGTTCTCTTAAATCATTAAGCACATATACAAGTATAAATGTGTGTGCATATATATGTACACATATATACATATGTCTTTCAAAATGCACCACCTGATTAGATGTTTTTGTCTTTCAAGTCATCACATTGCTCCATCCTCCATACCCAACCCAACATACAACACATTTTTTTTTTCCAGGGCTTCGGGGAAATACAACAAATTGATTGGGAAAAAAAAGACAATGAAATTTGTTGAAAGTTTAAAAGGGGGCTGTTGGGCTATTTAGAAACCTCCCCTGAAGTGCAGGAGAAAATGGGGAGTGGACTCCTTCTGGATGTTGTATTAAGATAAGCTGGCCCATCTTCCAGCTGTTTCCCTGCAAAGATCAACCTCTGCTGGTCAGAGGAGATGCCTTCCCTGTCTTGGATCTTGGCCTTGACATTCATGATGGGGTCACTGGGCTTTGTCTCAAGGGTGTTCACCTTTCTGGTTAAGGTCTTCATGAAGAGCTGCATTGTCAGGCAGCACATGGAAGAACAGCCGCTCAACTTGGGGACCCAATGGCACTCGCAACACAATTTTAATAAATTTTAAAAAGATGCATTCCCTAGAAAAAGGTAGACTATCTGCACCAAGGAAGCTCAATTCTAAAAAATTAATGAATTCAGAGCATCTATTTATGAATGATTACTAATTCCCCAGCAAAATGGGCTGCCTCTGTAGTGAGTATGGAGAAGAGGAGAAAAGACGGTTCCCTAACTGAAGCAATAGCGTGACAGGGATGGTGACAAATCAGATGGAAGGTATGCTTCTCTCAGAACTCGCTTACTTTTGACAGAGCGCCTTCCAGGAGAGGTGGTGCTATGGAAGCTTCCTTTGCCCTGTTGACCAAAGGCCAGCGTCATTTCCCATGCAGAGTTTCTGCTCTGGCCAGTCATGCCCAGCTTCCCAGCTTCCTGTGTGGTCTGGGGAATCCCAAGACCCAGTGTAATTCTCTGCTGGTAGAATTTCAACTTCAAACAGCTGAGCCCTAACTTAGCACATCCCTGTAGCCAGGGAAGGCAAAGCTGCAACACCCCAGGTACCTCATCTATTCATGCTCGATCCCTTTGGTTTCAGCTTGGATCCTATTAAAGCCTTGCTTCTTTGGGGAAGGGTAACCCAGAGCTGCCACCACATACATGAGACTGAGTATAAAGGAAAGATATGAGAACACAGGTGGCGGAGCTAAGAAAGTGAACAAGGAGCCAGAGTTTGACAGTGTAGTTGGCTTCTCTCACCGTAGAGCTTGTCAGTGTATCAGAGTCCTGTGGCTGACACAATCCCTTGTTTTCTTTTTCAACAGGGTCACCCTGGACAGCCAGGACCCAGAGGCCCCCCTGGCCTGGACGGCTATAATGGAACTAAAGGAGCAACTGGATTTCCAGGCTCTGATGGTTACCCTGGACTACTCGGACCACCTGTACGAGGCCAGATCTTTGTATATTATTTCAAATGTTGCTTTGATTGCTCTTAAGTGTACCTGTTTTCTACTTCTTTAGTCATCCCATTAAGCATCTGGGGCAGCCAAGCCAGCCCCTTGTTCAAGGCAGGAAGCCCTACTGACAGTGCCATTGCACTAAACATCTAAAGAAAACTACCCGTAGTAGTTGGATGCATATGCTATACTACTGAGGGTTAATGTTTTTAAAGGACGACTTCAGAGTTAGCAAGTGTTAGAAATGTGAGCAAACACACAGACGACATTGGTAAGTTCAGTACTTAAAGGGCTTTTATGGATTCATGAAAGTACTAACGATGATCAGAGGGAGTAGGAAGGCTTGGTGCATGCCAGTGTTTCTTACTCAGGGGTGATGTTTCTTCTTCCTCAGGGGTGATGTTGCCTCCCAAGGGGCTATTTGGCAGTTATTATTGATATTGTGGGTCCTCACAAATTGGAATGTGCTACTGGCACAGGACTCATCCCCAAGACACCAAGGAATCATCTGTCCCCGTGGGTCAATAGTGAGAAATAGCTGAAAACCCTACTGTCTTATTGACATGGTTTGCCCCTTTGCCTTCCCCCACACCATAATCCTTGGTTCTGGAATCGAAAAGACATGTATTGAATCCTGGCATTATCACTTTAATTTCTTTCATCCAGAATGGGCTCAAATGTTTGCATCTAAAGAATCTCTAATTGATGACGGAATTATGCCTTTGCAAGACTGCTATTACAAGTGGCTGGAAAGAGAAAAATAACACATTTCAAACCCATTCTCAACCCCACTTGAAAAAATTAAAGCTAATGAGAGTACTGAAGTGATACCTTTGTCTAGAAATCATACTCTTTAGCTCAAAACCATTGCTACATGAATCAGCTGGTATTTTAGTGAAAAAGCAGCACCATTGACTTCAGTGACCAAGCTGTATGTGTGGGTACATGTGTAAGAGAATGAGACTAACAGGCAAAGCACACCTCCCAGATTGTCATAAAGGACCTTGACATCAAAGGGCCAAAGCAATATACAGCAGGCAAGGAAAAAGATGTATTACCTACGGAGAACCGGCAGATTGCCACACAAAAGACTGTAAACACTGCCATGGCAACAAGGGAGGAGTACAACCACTCTCCTACTATGGTAATGGAGCAAAGTAAGGAAATGCTGCCCCCGAGAGGGAGAAAAGGAATCCCAAAGTAATGAACATTCCAAAATAAGAAAGTGGGCATGTATTTTATTAAGCTGAACCTTACTAACCCTCTGGATTCTGAGTACATTTTTTTTTTTGTAGTGTCTTTGGTGAAAGTAGTGACCGCAAGAATAAGTGGAAACGAGAAGTGTTAGGAAAGAAACTAGTTTGTTCTTATGGGACCACTTTGTTAAGCTCAGGAATCAATATTTCAGTCTCCAAAGCTTAGCCTTACCCCTAATGCTAATCCTGATGCCACTTAAATATAGGAACATGCCCTGATTTTCCCCAGGAGGATGAGATCTAGCAGATATTAGATATCTCTAGATATATTAGAGTAAAAAGCCTGGTTGATAAGTAGGCTGGGTATACTTTGAACTGTTTTCTGTGTTAAAATAAAAAGGACACACACTGGCTTCTCAGCCAGTGATATGAAGCTGAAGTGATATGGAAGGTTCCTGCACAGTATGTAGATGGATCTGTAGATGTTTTTAGACCAGAGGTCTTCAAAGTGGTCCACATAAAACTTGACCTGTGGTTTGTTTCTAAATTTCTAGAAGATAGGGAGAGGAGGAATAAAAGAAGGTGGGACAGAACCCTGATATTACACACTGAGTCTTTATTAGTTCATTAACCTCTATCCTAGACAAAGCCTCCATCCATAATGTACATAGCTGAGTTCACCTTGTGAGTGGTTTGTGGATGGCATGAGTATCATATGTGGATATTTAGAATAGTAGTCTTAATAAAGTCAGAGACTTCTAAACTCTATAGACTTCTGAGTTGGGGGTTGGGGGATCTAGAGCTTTGAGATACAGTCCCTGTTTAAGGCGTTAACTTTGCTGCTTAGCACAGCCAGTACTGACATACAATAATCCACATAAGTTTCTGTTATTCCATCCTTTAGATGATAAGTCATTCTATTAACAAAATTATGTGTAGTTATCACAAACCTTTCTTATTTTACTTAGGGGTTTCCTGGTCAAAAGGGCTCTAAAGGTGAACCTGTCTTTGCCCAAGGTAGTCTCAAAGGAATGAAGGTAAGAACATCTGAGGAGGACAGCTGAATAAGCTGTATGCTGTGTTCCCTGGGATAGGGCCCCACCTCCGATAGAAGCTTTTCCAGAACTAGCATCTGTGCCTCTATTTAAGGAGCAGACCAAACTGGATTGAAAAAGGATCTGGAGCTTTTTGTGGTGAAAACATTCACAGAAATGTTTGCAACCATACTGTCAAAGAGATTTGTTTTGTAGGATCTAGACCAAAAACAAGAGGCAGATCAGCAAACAAACAGTTTGCATGGGTATCATTTTCTTTGGCAAGCAGAGACATTTCCTGGAGGTAGAGACCTTCTGTCTACACTAGAATCCTTGCTATCTGTGTCTCTTGGCTTGAAGTCATGTCTCAGACCATCTTGGTGTGGCCATCTGCCCAGGATCCTGAGTCTGACCCTTTTCTGTCCCTTCACACCAGCCCTTCACCCTAACTGGGTTCCTGGATATCTCTAAAATTTGCCCATCAGTTCTGCAATTGACTGGCAACTTGCATCTTCTCCTAGAATAGGCAACAACCTTCTGTGTTCTCTTGACTGTACTCCTGTTATATGACTCCTGGTAACCTGTGGGCCCTCAATAAACTCTGGTGCAAGATAACTGCTCCCATTTCCTTGCACAGTGGGAAGGAAGCCCATCACTGCCCTGATAGCATATGGGAGTCTGCATGCCCAAGAACTGAGCGTACCCAGCTCACTCAGTCAAGGATGGAAACTTTCTGACTTCTGTCCATGCATGAGCCAGAAACTGGAAATCACTTTGGAAGGCATTGATTGGTTTGCTGGCTGAGAACTAAGAACAGTATAAGTCTTGTGCTCTTGGTTACAGATGCCATAACAGAAGATAGAATGTCAAGCTTGGAAAGGAACTTATGATTGTCAGGTTCATGTTGCTTATTTTACAGATAGAAAAACTGAGCTATTCTGAAAGTTCATTACTTGCTTAGAGTCACACGGCCAGTTTACTGATGAGATAATACCCAGGCAAATCCCCATCCCTGCTGCAAGGAGCTGATTTTTTACTGTAAGCCAAGTGGGGTACAACTAGCAGGTGTCCAAATATGTGCACTGTCATAGTAGCAAATATTGATGAAATGGTTTTGCCAAAAGTCAAAGAGAAACTGGACCCTGCGGAACACAGCAATTTCCACAAGATGGTTATATTATAGATTCACACAGTGGCTTAAGATGCTGCAAAGTAATTAAAACGTAATCAGAGCCTGTATGCTCTGTTGATTCTCCCTTGAAATGTCTGATTTGCATTGTATACATATGGGCACAGATTCTCTGGGGATGAAGGCACACGGGAAGGTAGCTTTTCTTTCCTCCAAAAAGAGCAGACAAATCACCAGCCCGCAGAAGCAGTTTCTAATTGATAAGTTCCTAGCAAAGGTGAAAATTAATTAACCCAAGTAAAATAGGAAATCTTGGTCAGTCAAGGCTATAATATTTGTCTTCAAGAGTTCAGATTTTTGGGAAGGAAAAAAAAGTAAATGATTGGATATGTCCGAGTCATGCATTATTTAAGACACAAGGGCTTGACGGAAGAGCCCCATGCCTCAGTGATATGTTTTTTATGCACATGCATGGTTAGGTCAGTTCTCTATGAAGTACCACAGGTTTAATTTATTTGTCTTACTTGTTCATTTCTCAGGGGGATCCTGGGCTGCCAGGACTGGATGGAATCGCTGTAAGTTACGTAATTTGCCGACGGTTCCAAGGGTGCCTTTTGATTTTTCTGTATGATACTCAAATGTCTTTATAGACTTTCTCAAGGAAAACCCAGACAGTTGAGGTGCAATGAGTCACACTGTTGACATTTTCTAAGCGAGGAAATATGTAAGAGCACTGGCTGACTACCTCAAGATACACAGCACATAAGCCTTTAGACCTTCAGGCCAGGTACCTGATGTCTTAGAAAACAATTTGGCCTTTCATTCAGCAAGTATTTACTAAAGGTTTTCTGTGTGCTCAGAGTATTGTGGGTAAAACAAAAGTAATAAGGTGTTCTTTAGGTGGTATTCTGTGGAGAAATTTCTTTTAGACACTCTTGACAATAGTGAGTCCATGAAAGACCACGACTTGGCCAGAATAAGAGCTTTCCTTTAACTTGAATTTCCACACGTCATCACTTTCCTTTGAAGTAACTTAAGAAAGCTCTTCTTTCTTTCCCTGTATGGCATGGGGGATAGTTGCCTTCTCTTTGTCTTCCTTTCCACTTTCATCAGTATATTATGTGTACTCTCAGCAAAGTGCTAGAGTTTTTCCCCAAGGCAGTGCAAACATGGTCTCTGCACCAGCAATATCCACCTGACCCCACCCCACCCTCCAGAATGTGAAAAACTATGAGGGATGTGGCTTAACAGTTCCACAACAGCTTCCAGGAAAAGATAGTGTCTACCTAAAGATACATCCTGAGAGATTTTATATCTCGAATAGGTTTTAGCCTCTGAGAAGTTTGGGTGATGTTTAGATTGACGGGCACTGGAAGGACACTTTTGAAACTGAGTAGTATGAAAATGGTAGGCAATATACAGGGTGTATACAAGCAGATGCATAAACAGAGATGAGAGAGGACCAAGGGCATACGTAGCCCCAAGAGCGAAACAGCTTTGGTGTATAGGTTGTGCTGACTACATTTGTATAACATTCTCATCACCTCAGCGCCCTCATGCCCCTTCCCAGCCAATACCTGCCCTGATCCTACCCCAATGGCAGCCACCATTCTGATTTTTCCCATCATAGTATTTCCAGTTCTAGAACTTCATATAAAAATAATAATACAGGGACCTCCCTGGTGGCGCAGTGTGTTAAAGCACAACACTAAGAAGCTTCACACCACTTCAGCATGAGTTCGATCTCCACCCCAGAGGTGATCCACATGGTGCAGCAGACCTCTCCTTTCTAGCTCACTGCTCCCCTCAGCAGTGTACTTCATCGATCTGCCTGTTCTGCTCCCCACTCTGTCTCTGGTGAAGCCACTCACTGCCCCCACACCTCTGGCTTGTACCCAGTTCTGTATGCATAAATAAATAAATATTTAAAAAATAATAATACATGATGGGAAACCCAAGGGGATTGCAACTGAGATGGAAAAATGCACAAAATATGTTAAAATAAACTATTATATAATTAAAATAATAATAATAATACAAATATGCAGTATTTTGAGTTTGACTTCTTTCACTTGGCACGATGCTTCTGCCATCCATCTGCATTGTTTCCTTTGTCAATAGTTTGTTACTTTTTGATACTGAATCTCTTTCCACTCTACAGAGGTATCAAAGTCTGTCTATCATCTTTGACCAGTGAACACTTGGAACATTTGCAATGTTTGACTATTAGGAATTAATTTGCTACCAACATTCTTTTCTGATCTTGATTAACAACTTGTCTCTCAAGGGCCCACAAGGGATGCCTGGATATCCAGGGACGGCAGGACATATAGGACCACCAGGATGGCCGGTGAGTCCAACTGAAATCTATCATTTGATCCCAGTCATTTCATGTATTACCCCCATGAAACCATGGGTTACATGTTTGCCTGTGTCAGTGTAAACCCTCTTAGTAGGGAGAGATAACTCCCATTTTCGAAGGATTAAATTGAAGTAGGCTTTCGTGAAGAGGTAATTACTGCCTTTATTTATCAAGCAGATGGTCTTCCTGACCATCCATTCTGTGACTCCACAGCCTTCTAATCTAGTTCAGATAACCAGACACATCTACTACCACCTTTTCCCTCCCCAACTCTGATATGTTGCTAATTAATCATACCACCACCACCACCACCCTGAACACAAAAAAAGCTTCAAAACCATCTTAGCATTGCTCTACCTATTTACCTTTGTGTAGAGCAACTCTCACAACCTGCCTTCCTGATATCAAAAGTACTTGCCATCACTGTTACAGGAAGAGTGTAACCAGTCATCCCAGATTCTGTTTCCAGATTGATCTCTCTCCAGTGCATGAAATCCCACCACTGCTTACTTTGAGTTAACTACACCAATGGTCATCATGTAAAAATACCTAGGCAGTTAGGAAGAATGATACCTGATGTCTTCACTACCTTAGCATGAATATGCTGATTGGGTCAATTTAAAAGATTTCCAAGCAGATAATAAAGGAACCATGGGAAAGAAGAACTAGAATCTGCTCCACCAAAGCCAGGTTGGGGTCTTTATCCCCATAGACTTTCAGCATGTCCATGTTCATTTTCTTTTTGACTGAATCTAGTATGTGCTAATTCTTTGCTTTCATTTTAATACAGGGTCCTCCAGGGCCTCCTGGCTTCCCTGGGCCTGATGTAAGTATACTTTTCCTGGGGTATTTGAACTCCGATCATTTAAGTACTCTGGTTTTTCTAGAAATATTCTGATTTGGTTAAACACACTTTCTGATAAACAACCCAAAGGGATTGTTTTCCAATTTAAGGTCCTAAAACAAATTTAATAATCGATTTTGTTTTTCTTTCCCATACCCCGGCACCCCAGGGGAATATGGGACTAGGTTTCCAAGGAGAGAAAGGAGCCAAGGTAAATAGATTTTGTAAAATACAATCTGCATTCCATATATTCCCCCAAAAATGTCTCTGACTGCACACATGTACCTGCTTGTGTAGGAGATTTGGACCTTGACTTTGGAAATAAGCATTTCCCACTCCACATCAGTCCTCTAATAGGTCTGTTAAGACCTGCACACACACATGCCAAACATAGGCTACTGTGACCTTTTCTCTCAAAATGTTGTGCCTTCCTGCTTCTTACCTGTAAATTATATATCCCTGCAAGCATATTCTCTATGCTCCCTTTTCCGTCCACTTGGCTGTTTTCTATACTGTGTCCTATGTATCCTTTCTGCATTTCACCTTTTCCTTCTGTCCTTCCCCTTTCTTGTCTTTGTCTTATCCTGTTCCTTTGCCTCTTTGTTCTTCCTCCTCCACATTCTGTGTATGTGTGTGTATGTGTATCTCCTCCATCTCTCTTCCTTAACCTCTGTTGCCTCTCCTCTCTCATTCTCCTAGATTCCATTGTAAAACTGTCTAGTGATTTTGGAGCCTGGAGGGAAACTGGGCTTGCCTCTCTGAACACCAGTCTCTTGTGGGTTGCACTGCCTTCTGAAGGGGCAAATCCAGCCTCCGATGTTGCAAAACAGACTTCCCTTGACTCTGCTTATGCTCTTGACAAGGACTGGCCCAGTCAAAGTCTGATTTCCATTGTCAAGAGGTAGCCACTCGCTTTACTCAAACCACTTTTTGCTCTCTTCTATACTCCCTTCTATGCATGAACATGGCAACCACCAACCCATGGCTTCCTTTCTCCATCTTGCATTTTCTCTCTGTAGTGTGGGTACAAAATGCACTTGGACAGGCTTAGATTTTTCCCATCCCTTGGCACTAATAGATTTCTTTTTCCCTCATTGATGCAAGGGTGAGGATGAAAAAGTCAAAGTAATGCACAGTTTATTTGTGAACTACATCCAGAGGACAAGCCAACTTTCCCAAATTTATGGCCTGTTTGCTGTTTGCTTTACTTGACATTCCCTTTCATTTTCCAGGGAGATGTTGGCCTCCCTGGCCCTGCAGGACCCCCACCATCTACTGGAGAGCTAGAATTTATGGGATTTCCCAAAGGGAAGAAAGGATCCAAGGTAGTGAACATTAAGAATGACACAAGTTAATAAGCCTTTTCATAATGATACAGCTTTAATTCTAATAACCAGATACTAGTGTAAAAAGAAAGGGTTCTAGATACTGTTTTTTTGTTTTGTAAATAAGGAGGGAAAAAAACCTTTGTTTGTCCCTTGTGAAAAGCATTCTAAAAAGTCTGTTCTTTAGTGTGTGGATATGGGTTGAAGTGCTATTTTCCATTGCAGCTTTACAAATTCAATTATCAAAATGCTGGATACTTTGTACAAAACATTAAATAGTTTGAGTTTTCCCCTCAAAACCCCCAACCCTCTCAAGACTTCCATCACTAAAGTACTATGATCAAACATAGTATAAATGGTAACTTCTGAGTTATCTCTTTAAGGAAGCCCTTTGCCCACGAAACTTGACCCTGCCCACAGAATCTGCTGTCACCAAGTGGCAGTAGGCACCCTAGTTCACCTGATCTGATCTACCAACTCTAAAGCTGTCGCCTTTTTAACCAAGATATTTTTTATGAGCTGTGTTTTAATGAGAGTGAGTATACATGTGGTTGTATTTAAGTGACTGTATGCTGTTAAGGTATGCAGATATCCTTCAGTAAACTGTATTCTCTTCCTTCTTTGGGTTCCCTTAAGTTTTGTGATGTGCCATTAGCCAATAGCAAGCAGGGGAAATTTTTTAATTCATTTATTTAATTTTATCTATGTGGAAGCAACAGGTCCAGGCTCTCTCCAGGAAGCAAACATTGATTTGGGGGAAAGTGGGGAGCAATTTTTGTGTCCATGCTCATTCCCAAACATTAGGGTGCCCTTCTATAACACACATAGGCAAAGTCATAATCAGAGAAAGACAGATTGTCCATATTGTAATTTTTACTCTTGTCCCCAAACCATTGATTTCTTTGAAGTCTGTAATTTGCTACAGGATATCATAATGAACAGGTCTTTCCACCAGAAAGATCTTTCTTCCAATTAGCCTGGGAACGTGAGTTTATATTTTAAGCAGCTTTCTTTCCCTGCTTGGTCTTTGTCCTTCTTATGCCACCAAGGGCTCTCTAGACTGAGCTATCCTGGTGCAGTGACACGTTGAGGAACCTAGGAAATCTGCACCATCTCTGGTTCTCCAGCCCTGCTACCTAATTGGTTCCCCACCACCCAGCCCAAATAACTCAAGGAAGCCATTGTGTTTATGGTCCCTGTTTCCTGCTGCTACTCTCTAAGTTTTGATTGATTTTTCAGGGTGTACCAGGGCCTCCAGGTTTCCCAGGAACAAGTGGCCCTCCAGGTCTCCCGGTAAGTTTCCTGTTAAGTCAACATGTATTTGAGGATCTTTTTAGACAAAAGCTATAATAATGCAAGACTAACAGGAAGACCGCCTCCTATGGTAATTTTCCAGAATTCCACATCTTCATTATTAGAAGGCATTTGAGGAACTGTTGCCTCTCAAATTCATTGGGACATTAGCATGGCTTTTCCTGAGACTATAGATCTTAGAGGTTATGATCTAAAGCTCTAGAGTTAAAGCATACCTGTGTGTGGCTTCACTTCCAGCTATGTGACCTTGAACACTCTTCTTAACTTTTCTGAGCTTCAGTTTCCAGACCTACAAAAAAGAGATAATAATGCAATGGTTATGATAACTAAATGAGATAATATGTGTAAAAAGAGCTTAGTACATCATGCATTTACCAATTGTTCAGTAAATGGTAGCTAATTTAAGCAATTCTGTTTACTTCCATATCTGCCCTTGTATCATAGATTGTTTAGTTCCACATATACCTTTTCAGGCCTTCTGTGTATCAGGCATTGTGTTGGACTCCGAGGTTAGAACACTAAATAAGTAAATGTCTTTATACTTGAGAAGAGTGCTTTCTAGTTGGTGGGGAGGGGTAAGGGAGGAGGTAGACGATAAACAAATCAAGATCACATTGTACTAAGTGACGCATACAAGATAGAAAAGGGTAAAGTAATAGCATTTGGATGGGGAATGGGTAGGCTTCTTTGGACAGAATGGTCAAGAAGAGCCTCTTTAAGGAAGAACATATGATGAGGGAGCATTTCACATGAACTTTGGGAAGAAAGTTTCTGGCCAAAGGAACTTCAAGTGCCAAGACTCTGAGGTAATATCTCAGCCCTTTTAGAGAACAGAAAGAAGGTAGGGGGTGGAATTGATTGGACAAGGCTAAGAATCAGGCAGAGTCAGGAGAAAAATCACAGAAATCTTTATGTCAAATCTGGATTTTACTTTGATGGGAAACTGTTGGAAAGCCCTGCCTTTTATATATAAGATCCCTCTGACTGTGGGACTGGAAGAACTACATAGATAGCATCTACTACAGCAGTCCAGACAAGAAATAGTGGTGACTTTGATCAGATGATACCAATGGAAATGGAAAGACGTGAAAAGATTCAAAATGTAAAAAAAAAAATAAACTTTTTGTATTAATGAACATTTCAAATACATACAAAAGTAGACAGAATAGCATAATGAAGCCCCCATATACCCATTACCCAGTTTCAGTAATTAGCCGCTTATGGCCAATCTGAAGCAAATAACATATCATTTCATGATAAATGCTTCTGTAATTGTAAGAGATAAAGACTTAAAAAAAAACATACTGGCAATATAATTGTCAGTAATTATCTGTAATTACTCCATATCAGTTAAGTCAGAATTCAGACTTATGATTGCCTTGTTTGGGTCAGAATCCGAGGGAGACCCAACATTGCATTTGTTTATGTCTCTTAATTCACAAGATGTATTTGGAAGGAAGAGCTGACAAGATTTTCATGGATTGGATGTATAGGACTCAGAAAGGAAATGAATGAGTCGATGAATCAATTGGCTTGGCCCTGCTTGCTAGCAGAGCAGGGAGAGATAACTCTAGTTCTTCCCTACAACCCTTTGAAACACTTTGGGTCTCTCTGGATGGTAAGAAAACTGCATCAGTAGAGCCCATAGCACAGGTTGCTTCCATGAAGATTCCTGTTACTCTTTAGAAACAAAGGGCATAAAAAATCTTCTATTCAGTGTCCTTGGTTTTAATCAGCTCCACATCTAGTGAATCAGAAAGGAAATGAACTCTGATGTTGGAGAGGGACAGCTGGACGTCAGACTTCACTCCAGCTCTGGGTTTTTGCATGTCACTGAACCTCTCTGTATATCTGTAATATGGTAATGGTTTACTACTGAGTTGACATCCAACTTACACTATTCCTAAAGTTTCTTTGTAAACAGCTGTGCTATCAATATGAAAGTCTTTAGCTTTGTGTGTATGGTTAACAAGACCTTAATATATAGTTAGCCTGAGGGCCTCCCTCATCGTGCAAGGGGTTAAGTCTCAGGAGTATGAAGCAATCAGCAGCCACAGCAGCATGAGTTTGATCCCCTGCCAGGGAGCTGACCCACATGGCACAGCAGACCTCTCCTGACCTGTCTGCTGCTCCCCTCAGCAATGTTTTCCAGTAGATCCTCCTGTTCTGCACCACCCTCTGTCTCCAGTGAATCCTCTCATTTCCCCCCTCTCCTCTGACCTGTACCCCAACTCGTGTATGCATAAATAAGTAAAATAAATTTTTAGAAATACATATATATAGTTAGTATGAGATGAGATGTGTTGTTAATGTAAAATACACACCAGATTTCAAAAACTTGGTATGATAGACATAATCTAATTGGTATGATAGACATTATCTCATTAATAAATTTCACTTCAATATTGGCAATATTTATGATACATTTGATTTAAAAGAATATTGTTAAATTAATCTCAGCTATTGATTTGACTTTGTAAATGGGGCTACCAGCAAATTTAAAATAACATAGTAACAGTATATTTCCATTGGACAGCACAGATATAAACTACTCTGCAAGTGTGTTTGGGAATGAGGTTTGTACCTTTTTGGTAAACATGTCACTTAGATTCTAGTCACCCTACATCATCCCTGGGCAAGATAGACCGGGTGTATCCCCCTGTGTTGAGAAGGGAAACATGTCCTGATGGGTAAGAGAGGCATCCAGAATCATGTAGCAACTTATAAGCAGAAGTGACACAGAAATTAATTTTTTTTTAAATTCCAGCCAGTTCAGAATGTCTCCTGCCCGCCCCCCAACCCCTCTAGAGTCCAGCTTGTTCTTGTGGCCTTGGTGCTGGCTGGTGTGGTCTCCTCTGGGTGGTTCCATTACTGTCCCCTTTCTCCCTCACAGGATGTCCCCTCTTACACACTTCACCCTGTTCCTTCCCTTTTGTCCTGTAAAAGAGAGGCTAACAACAATAATGGTGGTGAATTGCAATCTTGTTTCAAGCTCAGTATTTTCAGTGTTTCACATTCTGGGCTGAAAATTAGAAACCCCAGTTTACTGTAATGAAAAAAAATGTACAAAATGAAGAAAGATGTATATATATATAATTTAAAATTTTTTAATCACCAAAAAGAGAAAAAGAAATCCAAGCTACAAATTATTCCCTGTTATATAGCACAGAGTATTCCTGTAGGGCGGGATCTAAGAAACCAGCGTCTCAGCCACTCTCAGCATGGATTCCATGGGCACGCCTGGCCAAATATTGTAGTTCCTTCAGTCCTGCTACTCTAGCCACTTAATGGAAACAATCATGGACACCTTCTGTTTTCTGACAGTTGTGAGGAGAAAAATGGTAACATATTTGAGATACTCTGGCCTGCTCATGGTGATTTTCATTTATTCACACTCACCAGAAACAATGCAGCATGAAGAATGGAAAGCTGTAGAGAATCCAAAATGATCCTTTAACCATTTCTTTCCTTTTCATCCAGCCTAAATCTTTAAAGGAACTGTGGACAAGTGGCCAGCCTCACAGATTTATGCCCCATTTTGCTTCGGACCCTGTGCAGTGGGTCTTCAGTATCCCTGATTGTCTGACTCAGCTCCGGCATCACAAATTTCACTCTGATTTTCTGGAAAAATCATATACGGTGGTCCCTATATTCCAAAGACAAGCGAACACAGGGTAGGGCAAAATGGAAAAGATGGGAAGAGCAGTAAAAGAGAAGAAAGTGGCAAAGTCTGAGGTAACCAGTGTATTTAAGACAACTGCTGTTTCTCCTTCAAATCAGAACCAGACTTTCAAGACACTTGAGGTAGGTCCTCTGGAGGAGGAGCCCCAGCTTGACAGACTTAAGCTGGGTCTGGGTCCTGGAGGCCCGAGAGGCAATCGCAGCGTGACCTGCTCAGACTTTAGAAGGCGAGGACTTAGCTTTCCAACCTCCAGGCCCCCTCGCAGGGCCAAGCAGGACTCATTTCTGACAGCCCACCTACCCGTGTTCCCTCCCCTTTGTATGCTGCAGCCTCCTCCCACCTTGCCCTCCCTCGTTGTGGAGGAGGGTCCGGCCCATCTCCATGGCCTTCACTGGCTGTGGGAATCTGCTCCCAGGTGAGCCTGCCTCTGAGGAGGAGCTAGGGCCTGAGAGTCCTTCCCTCAGCAGTGGGGCCCGGCAGCCCCCCGGTTCCAGCCCATTGTTTTCAGCTTGCCTGTTTTCGTGCACCGCCCTCCTCCCCCTGTGCAGGGACCACCTCATCCCTCCTTTTGTGTGGCCACGTGACTCAAGTTGAGTTATTTGCAAAGTCACCAGTATCCTTGAATGAAAAACACCAGGAGGCCAGGGCCTTTGAGAGCAGACCTGTAAATAGCTAACACTCAAGCTAGCACTCAAATGAGGCTTTCAGTCATGGGCAAGAAGGGCTGTGGGAGAGTCGGTGTGGGACAGCTCATGACAAGGACTTGCTGGGCCCAAGCCAGGTCCCAGGACATCTCTCTAGCACAGCTTGTTCAGCAGGGCTCTGGTGTCTCCCGCTGCTGGGACAAAAGCCGAGCCTGCAGGCCAGTATCTTGCCAAGTCACGTATGTCTTATTGGCATTAACCCACACACAAATTTCTTTTTAATGTTTTTCTTTTTTAAGCTTTTCATGCACTTACTTTTGTTCACATTGTAGCACAAGCTCTCAGACCCTCTCTCAGAGAAACCAAGAATCCAGAGGCTCTTCCTGTTTCCAAAAGGAGGAGAACAAGGCCCTCTTGTCTTTACAGTTGCGGGCAAAATAGATGGAGGACATGAAACTGTTCTTGGACAGTCTCTGCTTGCCCCTGTGTAGTCGTTTTGCTTTCTCCTCTGTCATTCAGTTCAACAAGTGGGTATTAGAGCTCCTTGTGTGTGTTGAGCTTGCAATAACATGTTTGGAAGAGAGCAACGTGAGTCTAATATAGACCAGCAGCTTACAAACTTTCAGACAAAACCCATCTTAGTGCTTGAAGAGTTTGGCGTCACATGCACTGTTGCCATTGCTTCCATGGTCTGGTCCAGGGAAGCTGCAGGGAGCATTTGACTTCAGAGGTCAGTAGACACATTCTACCAGGTGGCGGCATGCCTTGATTTCCAGTTTGAGATGTAGAACTCAGATTTCAAATAGGCTTGCATTCAGTTTGACCCAGGGGCCATTCAAGTAGAAATCCTATTCACATGAGGTCTGAGCTACTTGACACACAACCATGCACACTCTCTTCCCAATAAAAAAGACAACTAAACAACCCACATTTAAAAAGAAATTGAAACTTGAGCCAAGAAAGCTCAGGGTTATTCAGCCAGCTCTCAGAGCCCATGGGAATGCCCTGAGTGTGTAGGAGAAAGAACAAATTACAAATGGCCCTTGGGCAGTGCCTTCACATGAGCTGAGCCAGGTCACTTCAAGAGGACAGCGGGAGAGGTGCCACAACATTTAGCGTCTTTCACAGGCTCCCATTTGGAAAAGCTTCACTGCCTCCTTTACTCTCACAATAGGCCTAAAGGTTGTTTGCCAAAATCTTTGCTCCAGAAAGTCCAATTTTAAACTACAACAACAAATCAGCCTCAATTAAGTTTGCCATGAAAGACTTTGATCCACTTTGGTTAAAATGAGCTCAGAATATGCTTGTCTTGGACTAAGAGAGAAGGAAGCTCTTTCTCACTCACGCTACTTTGGGGATTTTTGCTTGTCCCTCAAGACACGTCCATGGGTGCAAATCCTGTGAGCAGACCATGAGGGGTTAGAGACCATCTCAAAGCCCTGTTGGACTGACTTTGGGGCCTGTGGGTTCTCTTCATTGATTGAAATACTTGAAGAGGATGTTGCTGTCACCTTGGATTAAAAGAGCAAGAGCTCTTCTCTCTAGTATCCACCCCCAAGGATTAATGCAATTCTCAGTTTGCGGATCAAAGTATGAAGCTCCTAGAGGGCCTGGAATAGGAAGCCAAAGACCTGGCTCTGTTGTTAAGTCCATAAGTCATGCAAGATGCTTTGTTAGTCCTTCTGAGGGTTTCCTCATTGTGAACTCAATGAAGTTAGAGATTTAATCATTTTTATGTTGTTATTTCACGGTGCCAGAAGTACTTATAATGATGCTTTGGAGGGAAGACATTATTACTAGCACTGAAAAGAAACCTTGACTGAATAGTCCAAATTATGTTTAGGCGCTTTGTGTTTCTCAGGCAATACTAGACAATCAGCATGGTGAGCCTGCCTGGTGGGGCAGTAGAGTTGGTTCAAAACTACCTCCTTGCTTTGAATTGTTAAGCCCCTCTTGCTAGGCCCCTCTGTCTGGGTCTCTGACTCACCCTGGGCCCAGAAAGGAGAGCAGGCAGATAACATTCCTGAAACTGGCTGAGACTAGACCCTGATATCAGCTCCTGTCTCACGACTGAGAAACCTGTCCTTGGGTGCTGTGAAGTTTGTTACTCTTTGAATTTGCACCAGCTATGACATATGTAACGGCCGATAGGGCCTATATATTCTCTGATATTCCTATGGTCGGGGTCTTGCTCTCCTTGTGTGGCCTGCGTGCCTGCAGGAAGGCTTGACCCTAGCTAGCTGGCTTAATAAACTCTGCTTGCTTGCTCATCTCTGGTCCTGTTCTTTGTCACGGGGGACAGCTGGGTGATTTCGGACTGTAACAGAATGGACTCAGGAGACCTATGAAGAAATGATGTTATAACTTGTGTTGTTTTTTTTTTCCTTCAGGGATTTGGAACTACTGGAGAAAATGGAGAAAAGGGAATCCCTGGTTTGCCAGGACCTAGGGTATGAACCTAGAATGTTGTTTACCTGGGTCTATCAAGCTACCTGGTTCACTTTATTTCCTGCTTGCATATTTATGTGACTTGACAATTTCTTAAGCCTCTCTTGTTTCTGTTCCTCACTGTTAGTGGAAGACCCAAGCCCCTCCTCACTCCTTGGCACCATTCCCTTGACTAAGTGACTCCCTTGAATAACAATGATGTAACCCTAAGCCAGGTGGTTCCAAATCTATTTACCCTCCTTTGTCCTTATGTATAATTATCTTCTGGCTAAAGAATAATGCGAGTCTTGTCATGAATTCATTCCAGTCTATTCCAAGGAAATGTGGACAAGGGTGTGGCAAGGGCGAGGGGTGGGGTAGGGGAGTACAGGCGCATAAGTGCAATCTTTATGTGACAGAAAGGAGCCTGGGAAGTGCTAGAACATAAGGAGAGATGTGTGGAGTCAACATTTTCCAATAATAACCTCACTTCCAGTGGGAAAATAACTGTAGCCTCTCTGATTCCTAGCTTCAGCCCCTTAGGTCCCAGGGTGTAAGCCATTGGCCAACCTTAGCCCTTAAGAAGTAACATTTGAGAAATTGTGTTTTTAGCTTGGTCAGGAAGCTTGTTAAGAGCCTCTTGAATATTCATTCATTACCCTGCCACTTCTTTTTGTACTTTTCCCTACTCCCTTATCCTGAAAATGCATAATCACCAACAAAGAATGCTTTTTGGAATGAGAAACAAAAGGCCTTCCCACAATCTATTTAAAAATCTCATGACTTGAAACTAAGTATAGTACCACCCAGCCCTGCTACCAAATTCCTGCTAGTGCTTAAAATGTTTCCATTTACTTAACTCTTTAAAAATGCTGTATGGCTATTCAGACTCATGGATTAGTGCTTAGAAAGAAGTCATTAAACCAAGTCTACAACATTCTCTTACCTGATTTTAGAAGCTGCTAAATCCTTAACTCAGTTGGATAGCTTTGTTATGGAAGTCAGTGGCTTTATCTAGTGTGGGCTATTAATCTTTCTATGGTGCCTCTATTCTCTGAACAGGGTCCCATGGGTTTCGAAGGTGTCCAAGGCCCTCCAGGAAATCAGGTATTTTGGTTAAATCATTAAAATTTTGATGTATAAAATGCTAATCAATTGCCCCCTTGCTTTACCCTCAACGTGGCCATCGATACTAAAGGAGACACTGCTTATCGTGCAAGTTGCCCACCTGCCTTTGATTGGTATCATCTCAGCATTCTGTTTTCACCCAAGAAGATGTGTGTCCAGTGCTAAGTACCCAGAATAATTACACCTTCCAGAGTCTGGTAGAATCTGTACAAACCCCAGAATGCTAACTGAGGTCCCTTTGCCATTTCCCTTGATCTAATCCAAAAACCCTAAACCAGCCCATGTTTCTGTCACAGGGCAACAAGGGGTCCTCAGGTTTTCCAGGGCTGAATGGATTCCCAGGAACTAAGGTAATAATGTCGGCAAGTGAAATTCCAGAACTAGGGAAGTAGAAGTATGAAGAATTACCATAAATTCTGTTTAGTCCATTTGGGCTGCTGTAACAAAATGTTCCAGTTTGGGTGGCTTGTAAACAATAGAAAGTTACTATTTATAGTCTAGAGCCTGGAATGCCATGGTCAGTTTGCCAGCATAGTTGGGTTCTGGCTCTCAGACTGCCTTACTCTTCTGTGGTCTCATATGGGGAAGAGGGCAAGCTAGCTCTCTTGAGACTCTTTTATATGGGCACTAATCCCAGAGCTTCATCTTCCAAAGGCCTCACCACCTAATACCATCACCTTGGAAGTAGGTTTTCAGTATGAATAAGGAGAGAACAGATTCATTCAGACCATAGCAAGTGCCTACATGTGAGATGTATTTTTGACATTTGGCCACTTGAGATGTCATTACAAACATGATTTCAAATTTCCACTTTTTAGTTTAAATGTCTATATATTTAAAATTAAGGTGGTTGGTTCTTTTTTTTTTTAATTTACTTATTTATTCATACAGAACTGGGGTACAAGCCAGAGGTGCAGGGGCGGTGAGAGGATTCACCAGAGACAGATTGGGAAGCAGAACAGGCAGATCAATGAAAAACACTGCTGAGAGGAACAGCGGGCGGGTCAAGAGAGGTCTGCCACACCATGTGGATCACCTCCGGGGTGGGGGATCGAACTCACACTGAAGCTGCTGCAGCTGGCTTGCAGTGCTGTGTCCTAATCCGTTGAGCTACCAGGGAGGGCCAAATGTATGTATTTTTAATTATCTTCATGCAATTCCTCTTCTTATGGTTTGCACCAAGGGTAGACAGCTCCCTTCATCTTACCCTGGATATGCCACTGTATCTGAGTCTGGTACCTGAACCCCTAGTTTGGAAAAATTAGGACTCCTCTGACTTCCTCTGCCAATATCATCCACTAACAAAGGTAGTAACAGTAGCAGAGTCTAAGGCCTGCTGAGCATGGAAAAAAGTTGAAACTCTGCTCTCTTTCCTTTTGGAAACAGGCTTGTCTAATGTTAGGACATGTTTCCCAGACCCACAACAGGATTGCACAATAAAATTGGCATCCCTCGTTCTTGGCAGGTTTGCAGCTGAATATCAGGCTTCTGGCCTGCCTTGTATTGCCTTCATCTTAACTTTATTAGACTTTGAAATTGATGTATGGATGAGTTGGCCCTGGAAACCAAGGGTTGGTTACAGAAGGAGGAACCCTTCATTCCAGTGGGGTGGCTTTGAGGGTACCTAGACATTTGATCATGAGGTTATGGAAATCTTTGTGTTTAATGTATTTGATCTTTGCAGGGTGAAAAGGGAGATATTGGCCAGCCAGGCCCAGATGTTTTCATCGATACAGATGGCACCATGATTGCAGGTGCAACTTTTCACTGATTTGAGTGGAGAAGAAAAGATAGGGAGTTAAATCCTTATATCCCCAGTAATTGTTACAAATATGCTTTCTCAGCTTCTAGACTGTCTGCTAAATCTGAAGTTCTGCTCTATCTTGAACTTGGTGAATGACCCTATCGTCAGTGTCTTGGAAATACAAGTCAAGCCTCTCCACATTCCTTTGTGTTGAGTCCATTAAGACTAGGGTTTGGTTCGGCTTGGGCCTGGATTTGGTTTTTAAAAATGGTTTTCCTGGTGAGGTTTAGAAAAGCTAAACATGATATCCTTTTAGCTGGGCTAGCTTTAGCTTGACAGTTTCCACGAAGCAGAAAAGTATCTTTGGTCAGGGTAGCAAGTGGCTAATGGTCCTCAACAGTATGACATGTTGAAAATGGGTCTTTGCCCTCCTTTCTTCTAGTTATTATATGTCCCTAGCTCTTCCATCTGCCTTCTCCAAAGATCCAGATAGCCAGTGTCTCCACTTTTTGCTTGACCAAAAGCTCCCACTATAGTGTCTCTGCCAGCTAGATCTCTTAATTTACCCTGTTCCTGTCATCCTTTCCAGCTCTTGTCCTGTCTGATGAACTCAGCAGGAACAGTGATGTTAATGTTTGACAGTGGCTTCCTGCATTCCATTCCAAGGAAACCTATGTATATATCATAACTAGTAGGCTTCAACACCTTAATCAAATGGTAGATATTTGTGGGATTATATTCATAGTTGAAGAATCTTCTTAGTACTTACAAGATATCACTGTGGAAGGCAAGCCCTGACCAGACCCGTTCTAAATACTAGCAGAGTCTTAGCACAAGTAAGCCCATTATCATGCACCTTGAAACTACCCTTAGATATTTTTGTGACATTCATGGACCTTCCCTGGGTTTACTTACTTTTATTTTTTTTTAACTTGCAATGCCAGGTTATCCTGGAGACCCCGGCAAGCCAGGCCCTCCGGGGCTGAAAGGAGACAGAGGCATCCAGGGTCATCCTGGCCTTGCTGGCATCCCTGGCTTACCAGCTTTCCCAGGTGAAACAAATGAACCCACCCTCTGCACAGATCAATGCTTTTTCTTCTCTGGTGCCGAGCACCCTCTCCTATACCTCTGATGTAGGCCATACCTAGCCAAAGTCAAGGAAAAGGTAGACTCTACTCATAACCTCCCACTGCCAGCCCAAGGCTGACATATATAGGGGTAGGTCCTGACTGATCACTTTTCCTTTGACCTCCATAATGTATCATCACTGCGCAGACAATCCCAGACTGTCACTGAGGTTCACAGTAACCAAGTGGGGCTGGGTAGGGCTGTTAGAGCCCTGTCTTGCTCCTGTGGATGTGTCATCACACTAGATGCTTACTAACAGGGACTAACAAAAGTCTGGGGAGAAACATGGACTTATACACCTCAGTCTGTGCCAAACTTGGGCACCCAGAGTCCTAAGGATGACACCTCTGACCCATTCATCAGAGAGCCCACCTCATTCTGTAGTAGCCAGCAGATAATGTCCCAATGTTACTTTTTTAAAAAAGATGTTATTTATTTATGCATACAGAACTGGGGTACAAGCCAGAATTGCAGAGGCAGTGAGAGGATTTACCAGAGACAGTGTGGGGAGCAGAACAGGCTGACTGACGAAGTACACTGCTGAGGGGAGTGGCGGGCGGGTCAGGAGAGGTCTGCTGCACCATGTGGTCACCTCTGGGTGGGGATCGAACTGATGCTGAAGCAGCTTTAGCTTCTTAGTGCTGTGCTTTAACCTGCTGAGCCACTAGGGAGCACCCTGTTTCTTTTTTTTTTTTTAAGATTTATTTTATTTATTTACGCATATAAGAACTGGAGTCTAGGCCAGAGGTTTGGGGTTGGGGGTTGGATGAGAAGATTCACCTGAGAAGAGTGGGGAGCAGAACAGGCATATCAACTGAAATACACTACTAAGGGGAGCAGTGGGTAAGACAGGAGAGGTCTGCTGCACCATGCACACCATCCCCCCAGGCCAGGGATTGAACTCATGCTATAGTGGCTTGCTATAACTTGATAGCGCTGAGACTGTGATGTCTGCTTCACAAGGAAGGCTCTCAGATGTTACTTTGAAAGGTGATGGTTTCTAAATTTCTTGGAGATGGTCCTGCTTTTAAAGCAGCCACTTGCAGGGGGGTGAAGCTGTCCTTATAACCAAGATAGAAATAATTCACAAAGGAGAGTCTAGACATCCAGATTTTCCTCTCAGATTTGCCACTAAGAAGCTTTGGGTTCTCAACCATGTTTCCTCACTTTGATCTCAGTTCCCCAAAAGTTTAGGCTAGACGCTTCTAACTCTGAAGCAAGAAAGTGGCAAATGTTTTCCCTAATTGTTCCCTTGAAGTTAGTTTCCAACCTAAGTCACTGATAGGACTACTCCTGAAAAGTAGGGTGATATAATTGGCATTTTTTTTGGGGGGGGTGCCTATCCTTCCAGGTATACCAGGTGCCCAAGGACCCCAGGGAGTTCCAGGCCTGAAGGGGAACCAAGGAAACCGAGGCCGCTCTACAACTGGGCCAATTGGTCCCCCTGGAAGAAATGGTTTGCCAGGCCTACCAGGCTTACCAGGCCTACCAGGCTTACCAGGCCTACCCAGTAAGTTGTTTTTTTCTCTGTTTTATCTTGATATTTAAGTGTGATCTAGACTACAGGATAGCCATGTTTTTTGAAGGCGGGGGGGAGGTCTCACAGGTAAAACAGCTATGTTAGCTACTGTAGCAGTCAGAGTCCATCAAGGAAAACACCAAATAGGGCCACCCCCATGATCAAACATTATGCCTTCCAACTTTTGTGCCCATTTCACTCCACGCTTAGTGTTTCTCAGTCTTTAGGCCTCGGTCTTGCAGCTCCTAAAGAATCAGCATTGGTTCTTTCAAACTTCCCCCTATCCAAGGGCTCCACTGGGGTGGACCTAGGACCTGAGAAATGTGAAGCCAAGCCTGGATCCTCAAGATGGCTGCTAAGAGCCTCCATAGGGCTTATTTTCCTTAAATCTATCTGAGTTTGGGACTTCAGACGCTAGGAGAAAGGTTATACATATTCCCAACTTATTAGTAACTTACACCCCATGACCACTGCAGCTTGTACCATTTCCTCTTTTATCCAAGAGACCTTTCTAGGGGTAGACCTACGGACTGAGTTACTGACGCTGCCTTGTTAATTCCTATATCCCCAGTGTCCAGTGCCTGAAACATAGAAGATATTCCGTAAGTAGTGGTAATAGAATTGAGTCAACAGAGATGGACTTACTACAATCTTTGGGTCCCAGTTTTGGATTTTTTCTTGGTTTCTGATCTGGTTAGTAAGCCTCAAGGCCCCATGTCTTGGTGTCTGGGCTGCTATGCTGACTCAAAAAAATCACGAGGCCCAACGTAAGAAAAGGTGGTAATATTTTATGTATTTTTCCCTGAAGGTCCAATACTTGAGACTGGAACCCTCCAGAACACACAGCCAGGGTTCCCTGGTCTCCGAGGAGAACGAGGTCCAAAAGGAACCCCAGGCTTCAAAGGAGTAAAAGGTGATTTTTTGTTGCCCAAATTCCTTGGAGAAGGCTTTCTGGGGGGAAATCAAACCAACAAACAGAAGTGCTGCTTTGAGGTCTAAGACTGAGATGAGCAACCGAGGTCACACAGGGCAAAGTGGCTCCTCCCTGTTTGCAAGGCTAAGGCTGGAAGACACTTACTACTTTCCGCCTGAAGGAAGGGGTTCTGAACAAGTCAAGACCTGAAAATCCAACTGCCTCTAGAAAAACAATACCAAACCCCCTCCCCCATGATTTTGAAGCGCTGTTTCATTATCTCAGCCTTTGGCTACTATGCTCTCTCCATCTTCTTGTGGCATTTGAGTCATTCTTCAGTTTCTTACTCTGAGAGGAAGCTATTAAAGCTCAAATAAGTGAATTTATTAAATTCATTAATTCAGTAAATAAATTCATTATCCCTGGGCTTCAAGGCCGGGGTCCAAGACAAGTGAATTTACCAAATGAATAGAGGATTGGGGGTGGGCTGGGGATTTCAGATACCTGAGATAGGACCCCTTCTCTTAAGGATTAGCATCATTCCTCAGCCTCAGAGAAGTCCTAATTTAACTCCTCTCTTTTCTCAGTGCCCTATCATAAAATGTTACTACTTAAGTATAGGAGCTACAGGTGAAGGTTTTGAAAGCTCCGTCAATGCTATTCAGATTCAAGGAAGGGATTAAATTTGCAAGTCTTAAAATGTTAGTCTTGACCCTTCCCTGACCCACTATAATGCTATATAGGGTATGCTTAATGCCATTTCACTCCTAAAATGGACAAATCTCATGCCTTCCTTTCTATATTTCTATCGGGCCTGAAGATACTCTTCAAGTCTGCAGTAGAGATAGAGATTCTCAAACTGCTTTGTATGTGAGAATCACCTAGGGGAGAGTATTAAAAAATGAGATTTTTAGGTGTCACCTCCTGAGTGTCTGATTAGTTAGCCCGGGGTTGAGTCTCAGCAGGTCTCTTATAGTCAAGCATCAGGGTAGCTCATGCCAGAGCTCCCTGGATCACACTTGAGAAATACTAATCTGGAGAACAGATTAATAATCCCCTAGAGATTATTAAATCTCTAAATGTAAGGAGAACATTTCAGGGGAACTCAGTTACCTGTGTTGGCATAAATGGTCATTTTCCAGACTGTGAACATAGAAAGCCAGGCTAGTTGGAGGCCGAAATTCTAGTGACTGCTGGATAGCTTTTCAGTTGTGTGTTGCTAAAATCCCTATCATTCATTAACTTGGCATTTCTCTCTGTAAACAGGAGATGGGGGGTAGGTATTTTGGTGAAAAGAACTCTCAAGTGCTTGGGTTCCAGCCCCTCACTTGGTTCATGTAACTCAGTGGCCCTCAGCCCTGGATGCACACTAGACTCACCTTTGGCTAGACCCCACTGCAGACTAATGATGATGACTACTCAGATGAAATCTGAGAGAGGTGACATAGTTCATTTGAGTTTGCTTTCTGACTCCTGATTTCCTCCATTGTCAGGTATTGCTTCTTGTGAGGAAAATGATGTGCTTTGTTTAACGTTATCTCACCCTCCCCACCCTCACCCCCAGGCGACTCGGGTCTTTGTGCTTGTGATGGTGGTGTTCCCAACACTGGACCACCTGGGCAGCCAGGCCCACCTGGGCCACCAGGTCACACAGGCCATCCCGGCCTCAAAGGAACCAGAGGCGACCCAGGTTCTGGGGGAGAGCAGGGCCCCTCAGGGGCTCCAGTAAGTATTGCCAGAATGAGAGAGCAACAGGAGCCTTCAAGTGTTCCTAACTCCTTACAAGTCACTTTCTTAAAACACATAAAAGAAAAATGAGGACAAAGCAGCATTTTAAGGTTTTAATCTTAGACCAAAGAAGTCAGAGTAGGTACCCTAAAATCCCTTTCTGTGCTAATGTGCTTACATTCCTCCTTTAATCTCTCCCTTCCTCCCACAAAAGTCTCCACATATTCCTGGCTCTGTGCTGGGCCCTGAAGATAAAAATGGAACGGATTAGACAAGTTTACTATCCCTAAATGTGTCAGACTCTAGAAAGGATGCAGAGAATAAATCAGCAATTACTATGCAATATAAACAAGTGCTTACAAGAGTGTCAAGGAACTGTTTAGGGTCAAATGTCTGCTACCTCTCCTAATCATGCCCTTTGTGTTTCTTTGTCAGGGCTTAATTGGGCCTCAAGGTCATATAGGACTCAAAGGAAAGAAGGGCGAACCAACTGTCAGTGCAGGATCTAGGGTACCTGGAGAGCGGGGTGATCCTGGCCCTCAGGGACATCCTGGTAAGGCGGGTGCCTCAGGCAAGGACGGAATACCAGGCTTACCAGGTCTTCCAGGTCCGCCAGTAAGTTGATCCTTCCTGGGTGAATTAACTATAAATACACACACCTGACTTTGGGGGCGTGGGGCCTCTGGATCATGGACAGAGAAGAACAGAGACCAGAATATGTCTTCCTGCCTCTGTCACTGACACTTTCCACTCTATGCTTTTCCTTTTTGTAAAATAGGAATCTCTTTCCGAGAATGACTCATTGTCTCATTTGATAAATGCTAGCTGCAACAACCGTATCACTGAAATGCTTCAGTTCTCAGGAGCTTTTTCCTTTAGGTAATCAAGCTGCTTTCTGGGTCTTCAGAAATTGTTACCCTGCTTCTGTTTCCTGTTCCCTTCTTCCACTGACCTAGAACCTTTGGCACTATCGGCTCGCGCTAGGCTGACAAGTTTCATTCCCACAAACTAAAATCAGATGAGTCAATTGAGAAATAAGAGAATTCCAACAAAAAACCAAGCACTAGTCACATTGGTTATCTATTTTCTGGGGTCAGAGTTTCTCCAGATAAGGTTCTCCACTGGTATTTCATTCTTTCTTTTGTGTTGTCTAGGGTGATGGTGGACAAGGCTTCCCAGGTGAAAAGGGATTACCAGGACTTCCTGGTGAAAAAGGCCACAGTGGCCCAGCTGGCCCCCCAGGAATTGGGCTACCAGGGTCTCCGGGACCACGTGGGCTTCCTGGAGACAAAGGAATAGATGGATTACCAGGGCAACAAGGCCCCCCTGGGCTTCCAGGTGAGTCAGGAAGTCAGATGGCTTTAGATTTGGGATATTGATCCCGGGCAGAATCTAGATGTGACATGTGTGCATGAAATCTGCCATACGAAGACACTTTCCTGACTACAATTATTTTCTTTTTCTTTCTTTTTTTTAAAGGTTGGGTTGGGAGAAGGCATTTCTTTTCTTTTTTTTAAGATTTATTTATTCATACAGAACTGGGGTACAAGCCAGAGGAACGGGGGTGGTGAGAGGATTCACCAGAGACAGAACGGGGAGCAGAACAGGCAGATCAATGAAGTACACTGCTGAGGGGAGCAGCAGGCAGGTCAGGAGAGGTCTGCCGCGTCATGTGGGTCACCTCCGGGGCAGGGGATCAAACTCCTGAAGCGGCTATGGCTAGCTTATATTGCTACTCCTAACCCATTGTGCCATCAGGGAGGGCCTGCAAATATTTTCAATCTTCTTAAAGGATTCCATATGGAAAATCAGTATTGTAAATGTATTATGACATGTTTACACAAAACAGCATAGTTTTCATCTTTACTTATTGAAGAACTTCCTGACAGAACAGTCAGGAAATGTAACTTCCTTGAGAGGCTATAAACTAATAATCCCTGAAAAATTTCAAGCAAAGGCTTGTTGAATCTCTTTCATGAATGCCAATGAACTAGTGAGAGGGCAATTGGACAAAGTGTCCCCTAGATTGTATAGTAACTACAGCAAGGAAGCACTTTACCTTAACTCATGAAATCTAAGACTGGAAAGAGACTCTAATTGTATCTGTTCTAATCTCCATGTTATACCTTGATTCTCTGTCATGTATATAGTTTCTTTTTATACTTGAATTTCAGGAATTGTAATGAATAACAGTCCTGTGCTATTAGTAACTTGCTTTCCATACAGCCTGAACAGCTAGCTTTTCATCCCAACTTCTGTTTCCACTAGTGGTATCATACTTCTTACAGCCATCTGAAGTTTAAAAACATGACGTTTATCTCTTATTCTTCCTTTGCAATGCAGCTATTAAGCTGTCATCCCAAGCCTAACTTACCAAATACCTATATGATTGTTGAATAACTGGCTGGCTGGCTGGCTGGATGGATGGATGGATGAATGGATGGATGAATGGATGGAAGGCTAGATGGATGGATGGAAGAAACACTCAGTTTTACTATGAACACTTCTGCCAACTTAACACCTGTAAAATCAGCTGACTCATTTTAGTCCTTAGTCCAAAGGCTAGAATTCAAAAGTCTCCAAACATAGTCACAACTAACCTTTCTTCTTCCCCACTCTTCATGATTTAAAATAAATAAACCACAGTATTTTCACTGTTCCCACACACAATCTGTTAGTTTACAAGTCCAAGAATTTGTTCTTGTCTTTTCTGGAATGTCCTTCTTCTTTTCTCCATATAGGAGCCTCCTATCCAACTGTCAGGGTTCCCTGTAAGTCCTGTTTCTGAAGTTAAGCCTCCCCTTTACATCTACAGTATGACATTGTCCCTTAAGTTATACATTTTCTGCCACTTAATAATTTTTGCTTTTCCCAACTGCTTCATAAGACCCTGGATAGTAGGGAAGGTGAGCAATACCTTTTAGCATTTTTTCAACCCACCTATGTCCCATAGAAAGCTAATACATCCTCACAGAAGAAAGGGCCTCCCCAGTAACAAAGGAGCTGCTCCTTTGTCATATTTCTCCTCTTTCCACCTTGTCACTTTGGAGAATTACAAAGAAGACAGGACACCGTATCTCATAAAGTTTTACTTATTTCAAAATACTTTTATGAATTGGTGTAATGGGGATAGTAGCATGGGCCAAGATTTCATGATTCAAGATTCTCTTTTTTTATCATTCATCACATTATTAAATAACGAGTCCTCCTGGGGCATTTAAAATATAATTTGACTTAAAGAAATTGGATTTACAGTCATTTTCCCCAGAAACATACCCTTGGAGGTGAAGGTCAATTTTTATCTTTTAATTTTTTTCCAAATGAGGTTTACCAAGATATTTATGTTTTTGTGAATCAACACTCTCAAAACCAGTTAGTATTTTAATTTGGAAATTCCTATGAAGGTTTTTGGAATTTTATCAAGTAAAATCATTCTGCCTTTTAGAAATCCTGGTGTAGCTATAGCTTTCAGCTCTGGTCCCAGAGACCTTACTCATGGTCTCATGTATAAAACCTTGGCCCCTCTGCCAACTGGGCCTTCATTTTAGGCCAACCCATTCTGCAGGCCATTAGGTCACAAACTGAGTTACAAAAGAATGGCACCTATAAAGTTATTCACCCCCAAATCACCTGGATATTATCTACATTCTGTTTGGAAACAGACTTAGTCAAATAAAGGAAGCCCACAGAGGAACATTTCTATCCCAAATTTCATTAGTCCCTGCACACAGAAAGTTCTGATAAATATAGTGATGTAGCGAGCTACAGACTGGGAGATACCACATGAAAAACATGTTCCTGTACCAAGACTTTTACCCCCAAATTACTTCAATTGAGAGCATTGGCTTTCTTTTTCTGTCTGTAGGGACCAAATACAATGCCTCAAGCTTAGCTTTCTTTCCACACAAGTTTAAAACACAAACTGTGAGCCCCAGCCATTTACACTGTAGCCATTACTGCACCATGAACAATTAAGATGCTGGTCCTAAAGGTACTCACTCAAACCAGTGGTGGCCCAGGCGAGGGCAGCTGCATTGCCAGGAAAGGGAATATAGTCATCAGAAGCCTTTCAACCTAGCGGTGTGAATTATTACCAACCCTGGGCAAGCAGACAACTGACTGTTTCCAAGTAGGCTCTACTCCAGCTGCTCATAGTAATTAATCACCCTGGTGATTACTGAAATGGCTACTGTGTCCTTGATCCTGTGTGGGTGCCAGCCCTCTGCACTCAGTCCAGACAGGGAATTTGATTGGTGGGCATATGCAGACAAGAGTTCCCTTGGGCCTCGAGGAGCGCTGGTCCTGGTTTAATTTCCTCCTTTCCTTGATTGGTCTAAGTGATTGCTTCTGTGGGGAGAAGGTTGGGAAAGGACTCTTAGACACACAGGGAGGTGAGAGCTAGCTAGTTCTAATGGTTCTCAATCACCAGTGCTGGGCACCACCCCGCTTCCTTTTTTTCACTTCTTTCTCAGATACTCAGGATGGTCTGAGCACCATACTGGAGCGCCTGGATGGGGAGGATTAACGCTAAATCTGGGGTGCAAAGGCTAATGCTGACACTGCTTCAGAGGCTTCTTGGCACTTACCTCCTGGGAGGGGAAGTACGGGAGTAAGTGTGTGTGCAGTTTCTAGGGAGGCCAATTTCCTTTGCTGTGCAAGTTGGTGGCTCTACTGGTTTCTACCTTAAACATCTTCTTTTTCTGAACTTACCTGGTGCCATAACTTGCTTTGAGAGGTCCATGTGTGCCGCATTTATTTGTTGAACTCAGAGCAAATCAAGAAGATAATATCTTGACCACTGGAAGTACTTTTTATTTTGAAGATGGAATTTGACATTTATAAAGGAAATTCTGAACAATCAGGTCGCTCATCACATGGGTAGAACCGATTTCTGCTTTGATGGGGAGAAGTTTCTGAATTCAGGAATGTAAAGTAGAAAACAGAGACATAAAGTCAAAGAACCAGATAGCAGTCTGACTCACTATTTTGACCTTTTGCTTGCAGTACGTAGGTGTGGTGTATAGGACTGGCCTGGGGCCACAGAGGAGTATTTACTTAATTTCCTCTCATTTTTTGCTATCGTAGCTTTCATGATTATTTTTCTTGTCCTGGAGCCTTTCCAGAAGCCTATCCCTGGCCCCATCCTCTAAATGTTTTGTTTTCATCTGGTTGTCACAGGTGAAAAGAATGTATTAAATTGATCTCATAAATTGAGGATGGTTGGCTTTCTGTTTGGACCCAGCCCAGAGTTATTTACATTTTATCCAGTGTGTTTTTGAAGACATAAAACAATGGTGCTTCAGGGCTTACCACACCGGAGCCAGTGGGGTTACTGGAATATTTGGGACAGGAGTGGCCTCTGCAGGGTCCCTCTGGTGTGTCCATCAGTTCTGCAGCTGAGTCCAGAGGACCCAGGCCTAAGCCAAACACAGCGTTGGCAGCCCCTTCCAGTGAATCATCTCATCAGACGTGCTTGCGTGTGGAGCACATTACCACAACAGGGAAATAGCCCTCTGGAATACTCCAGCAGCTCAATGTTTGGCGGGATACAGATGGCTGCGGCCACTGACGAAGGAGGGTGCAAGCCTATGGTGATCTTTCCACCTGTGGAGACATACCTACACAAGCCTGGGGTCTAGAAGGCAGAAAGTTGTTGCTCAGGCTATAAAGCAGTGTCACTAACCTGACGGAGGTAGAAACCAAGGATTGGCCTCGTAGGAGCTCTTCAGATGCTCCCCCCATAAATAATAAATAGAAGCACAGCCAGAAGTTCCAAGTTATTGGCTTTGGTACATGTCATTTTCCATCTTGTACATGAGGCTCACAGAGGTAAAGTATCTTCCCATACATCTGGCTAGTAGCAAAAGTAGGGTATAAGTGTCTAGCTTCAGAGCCCAACCCCTTAACCAATGTAATTTACCATCCAATTACCGATTTTGATTTGGGAATAGAACAAAGAGGCTAAAAAAGGTCATTGAGCCTTCCTATCAGGTAGAAGTGGGATTGGAGGAAGAATACTCCTCAGTTAAGTAAGCAGTCTGAATCATAGGTGTATATATCTTTAAGAAATGCCATTTTTGATTTATTTCAAGTACAGGCAAAAGCTATAGCAGTTTATTAGGACTGTTGATGCTGTGGGATTGTTTAATGAATAGGCAAGACTAATTTTAATTAGCATAACAATTGGTTGTAAATAGCACTTGAGGGAGACTTCAATTTGTTCACCAGTACTTTTATTAAGCCTCCCCTCTGTGATCTTATGGACACTTTTTATGTACATTATGAGTGAGCAAGGAGTAATTTGCTACAGTAAGGGCTATACATGCCAATTCCAATGTCTTGAATATTGAAATTGACTAGCCCCGCTCCCTGACTAGCAGAGATGACAGCTTCAAATGAGAATCTGAGGAAAGAGTTACCATGTGTCTGTCATGCCCAGGAGTGACTTCCACTGTTTTTCTGGTACAGAAAAATGGGTACACCTGACCAAGGACAATCAGTGAGTTTTTATAAATCCCAATAAGTTATATCAAAATCATCCAATGGTTTGAGAAAAGCCTCATTCCAAGAAAAGGGCAGACATGTAAGCTGAGTAGTCTTGGCTTTAAATCCTCCTGCACTCTAGCTGTGTAGATATAGTGGACCTTAGCGCTAACCTCAAGCTTCATCTGAAACCAAGGTGAATAGGCAATTGTTTGCTGCTCTACCTGCACAGGTGACCTGTAGACAACTAGGTAACATTCACTTCATAGGTGACTGCCAGCCCATGGGCACGCATGGTTTGGAAAGTGGCATCTTGTCACTTGTACACTAGTGGCATTCTTATCCCTAAGCAGTAGCAATTCCCAAGAGCATCTGATTCTAGGATTCTTCTGCGTGGGCCCCAGCCACTGGGTGGGAAAAGGGACTTGTTTGGGACGGAATGGAAGTAAAGTATGTCAGGAAGAAATCCTCCCTGACTCAGTGGGTTCACCAGATGCTTCCATGTTGCCAATTACAGGTATCACCTTGCCTTGTATTATTCCTGGAACCTATGGCCCATCAGGACTGCCCGGAGCTCCCGGATTCCCAGGTATGGAATGAGACCAGACAAAGGCACTGAGTACACTTCTAAGTGCCGTGGGCCAAAGGAAGCCCACTGGCCAAACAAAGGAAGCTACTGTGTATAGCCCAGTAGCATTTGTGGACATTCCTCCAGAGAGGTCAGCCATGAGGGCTGAGAAAATAGAATCGCTGCTAGAGAGGCTATGTGGGGAGGTGAAACTGAGAAAAGAAAGAGACAAGGATTCTTGATTGCACCTCACAAGTTTCCTTCCCCTCTCACTGCTCATTGTTGGGCTTTCAGGTCCTAAAGGGGTCCGTGGCCTCCCCGGGACCCCCGGCCAGCCTGGGTCGCATGGACATAAAGGAGAACCTGGCCATCCAGGATTGGTTCACCCACCCAAGTTTCCAGGTATGGAGAAGAGCTTCTCTGCACCTTCTTCTTCACTGTGACTGTGTATTTGGACTGTGATAGCCATTCACAAGTACAGGAAGTTGTGTGTGCTTGATGTGGTAGAATGGTTTTAATTTCATGCTCGGCACGGCAGAGCTCACAACTATGGAGTGGCGGTGTAACCCAGCAATGAGGACCATTTGAGATAAGCTGGGACAATCTCTTCAATTTCTGATGAGGAAACTGAGGTTCAGAGGGAAAGTAATTTGCCTGAGCTCACACGACCAGTTGTGACAGAGCTAGGACTCTGCTAGGTCTCCTGAGCGCCAGTCCTGTGGTTGTTTCCTGCAGAAACTCCCTAAAGGTCAGAGAAGTCAAAGATGAGTCAAAGGAAAATTGTCTCTATCCCTTTGCTAATACCCTCTTGTGCCAAGCACAGCTTCATTGTTCTACACTGCACAAGTGGTTCTCAATCTGTGTTCCTGGGCCAACGTCCGTCAGCATCATCTGGGAACTTGGAGTAAACACACATTCTCAGCCTCCACCTTCCAGGCCTACTGACCCAAAGCTCTGGCAGTGGCCCCAGCAATCTGGGTTTTGCCAAGTGCTCCTGTCCCAGGTGACTCTGGTCTCACTCAGGTTAAGAGCGACCCTACCCTACAGCATGAATGTGGAGAGCAGTATTCATCTAGGCCAAGAGCTATATAGTGCCTCCTCAGTTCCCACCACCACTGAGGAAGAGGCAAGCATGACACCCAGATGTTATATCACATCAGAAGAGACTGACCTTTGACCCGCAGTTTCCGGTGTCACCTGTTCTCTTCAGGAGCCGGTTGCTGAGCTCTGCCCAAGTTGCAGCCTCACTGAGCTAGGCCCTTCTGGCGCATGGTGTGGCCTCATTGTGGGCCAGTCCTTCCGGACCAGGTGCTCCTGTCCTCAAGAGAAGTGACACATCGATGCGTTGTTAAGTTTCTTAGTAGAAAACTGTCTGAGAGACATCTGCTCAAGACGAATCACTTCTAAATCTTCATGGCCTTTTGTTTTTTGCCTCTTTACATTCAGGGTTTCCTGGACTGCGTGGGGACAAGGGCTTGCCTGGGTTTCCTGGGCTCCCTGGAAAAGACGGCTCGCCTGGAAAAGTTGGCAGTCCAGGTTTACCAGGTTCCAAGGGAGCCCCTGGTGACATCTTTGGCGCTGAAATTGGAGCTATGGGCGAGCAAGGCCTACAGGGATTGCCAGGGGACAGAGGACTTCCTGGAGATCCTGGCTTGCCAGGACCCAAGGGTGACTGTTTTGTCCCACATACTTAACAATCTACAGAAATCCTGTCAGTAACCCTTCTACTTGCATGAATACTTGCCTGAATCTGGGGTGATGAATTCATCTGGGGTGAAATGTTTTCCTTCTCTTTTTGGAACTTTTCCTCAAATAACATAACTCTATTTTCCTGTCTCAGTAAGTCTAGAAGTAACCATATCCAACAGTCAGACTTCTTGCAAAGCCTCTGGGTTACCACTGGCAAGACCAGCATGATTGGAGCTGAGAAGACAGTGGCACATGGGATGAACTCCTGGTCAAGTTCTTCCACCAGAAGTTGCTTTGGTGACCCTGCCCTGCTGTTGGTCCAGATTTTGACCTCCTGTCCCTCCCTTTCCTTAGGTCTGCTTGGGAAGTCGGGTTTGCTGGGCCCCAAAGGTGAACGGGGAAGCCCTGGAAAACCAGGCCAAGCAGGATGGCCAGGCTCCCCAGGATCTAGCGGCCTGCTGGGCATCAAGGGCCAAGCCGGGCTCCCAGGATTGCCAGGCATTACAGGCACTTCAGGTAGGTCCTCTGGAGGAGGAGTCCCGGCTTGACAGACTTAAGCTAGGTCTGGGTCCTGGAGGCCCGAGAGGTATTCGCACCGTGACCTGCTCAGACTTTAGAAGGCGAGGACTTAGCTTTCCAACCTCCAGGCCCCCTCGCAGGGCCAAGCAGGACTCATTTCTGACAGCCCACCTACCCGTGTTCCCTCCCCTTTGTATGCTGCAGCCTCCTCCCACCTTGCCCTCCCTCGTTGTGGAGGTGGGTCCGGCCCATCTCCATGGCCTTCACTGGCTGTGGGAATCTGCTCCCAGGTGAGCCTGCCTCTGAGGAGGAGCTAGGGCCTGAGAGTCCTTCCCTCAGCAGTGGGGCCCGGCAGCCCCCCGGTTCCAGCCCATTGTTTTCAGCTTGCCTGTTTTCGTGCACCGCCCTCCTCCCCCTGTGCAGGGACCACCTCATCCCTCCTTTTGTGTGGCCACGTGACTCAAGTCATTTGCAAAGTCACCAGTATCCCTTTTACTTCCTTTATCCTTCTGTGTATCTGGGGTCTGAACAGAGGCAATTCAGGTTGAGAGGACAGCACCGAAGCTCATAGTCTAACATCCCCTTCAGCTTGGAGTTGGGGGGTGGGAATTGTGTGACTATGCACTATAACCTAGCAAGGCCAGGGGTCCCTGAACTCATGCTGTGGGGTTCACCCCCTCCCCATTGAATTTCCTTCTCTTGTTGTGGAATCCCCTTTACCGCCTCCCATTAGAATCCTGGGGTTTGCAGCTACTTGGTGCTTTTCAGTCCATAGAAGACTAAGTCAGCCATTCACTTAGGTCCTTGGAGGCCAAAATACCTCTGTAGTCACTGCTTTAATCCTTTGGTTTTTTAATTTCCTTGCTTTGTACCTGAACATTCCACTTTGGCAGCAGCTCAGGAGGTTAATCCCATTGACCATCTGAAAGCATGGAGAAAGAAGTCTCAGAATACCTAGGAGACCAAATGGGCCTTGGGGATTTCTACAGTACTTGGCACTAGGGGGTCTTTCAACATTAATGCCAAGGAACTGACTGACTTAACTGCTTGCATGAGGGATTAAAAGGGCGGCCCTGTAGCCAAGGCTCCCTGGGAGGCTGAAGCAAAGACTCGCTTTAACCTCTGCTTTAACCTTTACTTCACCGATTGGCTCAGGCATCAGCCATTGTGGCCTGATGCCTGAGCCAAAGTACCAGGAAACGAGCCCAGTTGCCACCCCGGCTTCCCAGAGCTCCATTAAGAAGCTAAAGTGTGGAGCACATTCATAAAGGAAGAAGGTATAATCAGAAGGGGTTTGCTTACTCTGCCTGCTACTGTGGCATGCTGTGAGTAACAGCCCCTGCCATGGTGACCTGGGTAGTAGGTACGAATGCTCAAGCCAACTAAGAACTCTGCCCATTAATGCCCCACCCACATAGGCCATTTTTTGAGAGCCATTTACAAAACCCAATAAACCAACCAACCGGAAGCCATGGGAAGAGGCAGTGGCCAGATCTGAGCAGAGCCTCACTTGACAGCTGTCCTGTGTTCTCTCCTGTGTGGACTCAGGGCGTCCTGGAAAGAAAGGTCCAAGAGGAGAAACGGGTGCCCCTGGATCAAGTGGAAGGAGAGGTCTGCCTGGGATGAAAGGCCTCCCTGGACCCCCAGGGTTAACAGGCTTCCTGGGGAATGCAGGCCCACCAGGGATCACAGGGTTGCCAGGTCTGCCCGGCCCGAAGGGTAAGTGAAGTGACCAGGCAGGGAGCAGTGTGTGCCAAGAAGCAGCATTCATGCTCCCCAGCTTGTCCCCTTTCTCTGCCTGGGATGGGAGACAGGGAGGGAGGTGGATGTCTTTGTGATAAGAGAGTTGGAGAAGGCTAGTGCTAAAAGAGTGCCCCCCCCATGATGACTCACCCCCACTGCCTGCTGGGAGGAACTCTGGGCTGAGCAGCATGGTCAGTCAAGCCCAGGACAGTAACAGCCACACTGGATTTACTCTCCTGCAACACCCCGACGCAGAGAACCTGAGACTAGACACTAGAGGCTGGACGGTGGCATCTCTGCGTTATCGGTACACAGGGCAAAGAACTGGTCCGAGGCCACACAATGGGTTAGCAGCATCTCTGCCACCTTAGACTAACTTGGCAAATCATGAGAGAGCTGCCCGCCTCTTCTTTCCTTTCTGTTGCTTAGAGCCTTGCCCCTGTCCAAAGTAGTACAATGTGTAACAAATAAGAGCTTAGACTTTGGAACTAGAGATGTGTCTCGAATACCTTCTCTGCAGCTTCCTGGCTGTGTGTCTTTGGGTGAGTTATTTAGTTGACATTTCCTTGTGTATAAGAAAAGTCTTTTTGTAACTACAAAGAAACAAAACAAAAAAATAAAACCCAAGCAATACCAAACCCTAGAAAACCAATGATGCAATTGAGGCTTCAAGAGACAGCCGAGGGGAACAGTGTGGGGGCCACAGTGGACTCAGGCAGAACACTGTGGGCACCTCGGTTGTGGATGTGGTGTGCTGACATGCATCCGAGAAGGTGCTGAATCACATACAGTGTTGTAAAACAATACTACCTCTGTTTAAACAAAGGTGATTTCAGCTTCTATTCAAATCCACAGAAATTTCAGAAATATCTAAAAAGAAAATTTTGTTTTCCAACAGGTGAGAAGGGGAATGTTGGACCGGTAGGTTATCCAGGAATGCCAGGTCCCCCTGGTATTCCTGGTGCAAGTGGCTTGAAGGGAATTCCTGGATCAGCTGGAAGAGTGGGACCATCTGGATGGGCTGGTAGCCCTGGCGAAAAAGGTAAACTGGGGAACCAATTACTGGCACTGCTGCCTTTTTTCCCAAGATACAGCTTTTTTGTAGCCTCTTGCCCTTCCTGCAGCTTGAAACCATCCTGTGTTAGCTTAGAAGATCTGAGGATTTGGAATGAATTCCTTCCAAACCCAGAGACCTTTCACTTCTGAGTTACCACTGCAAGTCAGAGGCCTGGTCATTCATTCCCAATGCTAGGCGGGAGGCTTTTGAGTAGGGTCCAAAGTTACTAGTGGTCTTCAAGCATGTTGAAAGAGAGGGCACACACAGAAATGCAAAGTTGGGACAAGGGGAATGGGAAAGAAGTTGGAAGGGCCCAGAAAAGGATTAGGGGTGTGGCCTGAGATGAGCTACTATGCAAGTGCAAGCAGCCTGATCCCGCGTCTAAACTTGCTTTGCTCTCACCTGGATCTCGTGATCTCCATCCCTGCAGGAGACAGAGGCGAACCGGGGCCAGTCGGAAGACCCAGTCCAAGACCACCCATGCTGAATGTCCAGCTCAAAGGAGACAAAGGCTCTCGAGGCTCACCTGGGTCTTTTGGATTTCCTGGGCCCAGAGGTGCTGGGGCAGGGAATGGGCAAGCGAAATGCACAGGAAAGATTTTAGGAACAAACTTGACTCCCTCCTGAGAAAGGCCCCACAGTATAGGGCTGCAGAGCAACAGTGTGGGTGGCAGGAGGCGTCCAAGAAAGCCAACTTCCCTGGGCCTGAGAGGGGCCTGAACTTTGAGACTGCCAGTTTTCACTGCCAAGTGAACTGAGTTTTTGAACCATCAGCAGTTGGACACCTGGAGAAAATCAGGCCATAGTGGGGTGAGGACAGAGCATCTTTACGAATGCTAGAGTTGCGGTTCCTTTAACTGGTGGCTCATGTGACTAGAAGCACTGCCCCCACCCTCACCCCCACTTTGAAGCTAACTTATCCCAAATGTGCTCCTGGCTTGCCTGTGACCATGGCACTTATACTGGGGTTAGCAGATTTCCTCTTGCTCAATCTTTTTCAAGCCATTTTTCTCCTTTGCCAGGTGATAAAGGACAGCCAGGCCACCCTGGGCTCCCTGGCTTACCTGGAGCTCCTGGACTCCCTGGCACCATCAAGGGAGTGAGTGGGAGGCCAGGGCCCCCTGGCTTCCCCGGACTACGGGGCTTGCAGGGCCTGAAGGGATCCCCTGGGATCACAGGTTTCCCAGGAATACCTGGAGAAAGTGTAAGTGTGCGCAGATGTGTGTCTCCCCAGGGATACACTCCATCGCAGAGGACATGCCATCATGGTGCACCTTCCTGGCCAGCCCAGTTCCCAGTCCCTGCCCCTAGCACAGCGGCAGTGCAAAGCCCTCTCCATGGTTCTGACCAATTTTCTCACTCCTTCCAAATCATTCCTTCCTCCGGGCCACCACGGTTCATGCTCTCCTCCACACAGCAGACTTGTTCTTCCTTGGGCCTCAGTCCAGGAGCCTCTTCTCCACACCCACCTGCTAGAATCTACCTTGCCACTGCTTATATCGACCCTCATTGCCTCCAAATTTCCTCAATGAGGTTTTTCAAACTTGAGATCAAGTTTTTGTTTCTTTTTCTTTGTACCTCAGCGCTGGCACTCCACACGAGTGGAGTACATCATAAGAATTCAGACAAACTTCCTGATTTTTTGATTTCAGGTAGTTTTTGTTGCCTCCACGGGCAACAACTGGCAAAGCATCTGGTCCAGCGTCCCTGGGTTCTTAAAAGCCAGGTGGCATTGTAGGCTTAGCGATAAAATAGACTTTGGGATTCAATTCTGATGCCAATTTCATCACTCATTAGCTCAAGGAGCATGTACACATCACTTCAGATCTTTGAACCTCATTATTCTCATTTGTCAAAAAATGGGACTAACATTCAAACCTCCTCCAGACACTAGTATTAAGTGGGAGAGTATGTGTAAAGCATTTAGCCTTGTTTCTGGCTCATGGCAAGCTCTGAATAAATAGTAGTGGTATCAGTAACAGTATTGAAGGGATTGAATCATAGAACACCTATGTTCCCTGAAGGCAAAGACTCCGCCTTTTAAAAGTGTTAGTCCATCTTGTAGAGAGAACACACACTCTCTCTCTCTCTCCTCTCTCTTTCTCTCACTCCCTCTCTCTCTCTCTCTCTCACACACACACACACACACACACGCATGCATGTGTACACACACACAAATCCCTGAAGCAATTGCAAAAGAAATCATTCTAAACTGGATGGTCCTGACTATTTCACACTAGGAGGGATGAAACCAAAGTGGGAAAGCCTTTTGGGATGCATCCCAGAATGAGCAATGGCTCAGAATTAGTAGATTTAGCAACATGCAGGAAAATGCCAGGTGAAAGGAAGAGGCGCCCTGGGTAATAGTCCACTGAACACAGCGACCCAGTCCAGAATTCCCAGTCTCGCTGAGGCTCTAAGTGGCATGTGTGTATTGGATGCAACTCAAAATGAATTAAAACCATGCCAGATACCAGGGGAAGAACTATGCTCACAGCAGCTGACATGCCCGCTACCCAGACTCACATGGTGTCTTGGACATTTGCCAATGAAGGCAGATTTCCTTGTGTAAATCATTCAGACTCCAGCACCCGCACACATAAGCCTGCTACCTGGTGGCCGACAGACTTCGTGTTCCTTGCGGCGCCTGCCGTAAGGGGCTGGCCTGTGACACACTTCCTGGTTCAGGACTTTGGCGTGGGTGGTGGCAGACACCAAGTGGAGAACACCAAGTGCTTGCCCTGACTTTCACTTGTGTTTTTCCTAGACTTGTCAGAACAGCCACAACTTAATTTCTCAAGATTCTGGGTTTTTGTTTTAATTAAATTTATTTATTGAGGTATATTTTACATCATTGCTCATCTTTCAACAGTGTTTACATTTCCCTCCCCTCAGGTACAGACCCTATAGAATTTCCTCCCCAATTCACTGGTGCTCTACCACCATAGTCCCCTGTGCTCCTCCCTCCCTCCTACCCCTCTGCAGACACGCCACTCTAATACAAGCCTACCGGTGCCCCAGAGTATGGGATAGGCAGTTCCCAGGCTTTGGCTCAGAAAGGGGAGAAGGGCAAAAGGGTGAGAGGCCTGAGCTCTGGGCAGACATAATATTCCATATTATTTTTAAGGGTTTACAGGGTCTCAGTGGAGTTCCTGGGCTCCCAGGAATATCCGGTCTCCCGGGTTCAAAAGGTAAGGAGTATTTTCTCCTTTAATGTGTTTTTCCAGAACCAGGTGGATTTCCAGTAGGTCCAATGCTCTTCCGGAAGGAGACTGTGTTTAGGGGAAGCGCACTCATTGATTTGCATTTCCCCTTTGTCCAAAGACCCACTGCAGTCTTTGTTCCTCAAAGACTTGAGACAAACTGTAGTGCCTCCCACGCTTGCTGTCTGTGGCTTTCTTCTCACCAAGGAATAGGCTGTACTTTGGCTCTTAACCACACCTGCCCTCCGGACTCAGCAGCAGAGGAAAGCCTTGACTCTAGACAGTCTCCTCCCCCGCTGAGTCCAATTTCCCATCCTTGCCGTGGTCATCATTCCAGTCTGGTGATGCTCGCAGTGACCTTTCATCTCCTCTGCCCACACTTAGTGTAATGCTGTGTCCCCAGTGGACATAGAATGCATGTGGCAGTGTTTCATGCCATAGCTTGGTAGGACCCCATTGACTTGTGATCGGTCACTCTTTACCCAATGGGTAATTTTGTCAAGGCGCTGCTCTGCTACACTGAATCTGAAAATATTTTGTGCTGCAAAATCATCTGTAGTTTCTCCAGACCACTGTAACTATGTCTTGATATCCCCAGGAGATAAAGGCCAGACACTCAGAACTCCTGGTAACCCAGGACCCAAGGGACAGCCTGGAGAGCCTGGTCTCAACGGTAAGACTGAAGTACTTTTATCTCACAGATACCTCAAAACTAAGGCACAGAAGGAATTTTGGAAGTCTGCAAACCCCATCTAGTGCAGACAAATTCCTCCCGGACGTGTGTTCACTCATAAGCAGGCCATAGTTGCCCGAAGCAAGCCAACCTGCTTTTTCTTCAAGACTCATAGGCTGGCAGAGACCTTTGGGATAATGGCTTCCACCTCCTTAATTTATAACTAAATTCCTTCTCATATACTTTCCATTATTCCTGCTTCTGACGTCACTCAAAACAAGTTTACTTACTTTCAACTTGTGTCACCCTCCAAGCATGAATACAGGTGCCATGGTCCTCTTTAGATTCTTCACTGAACTTAGCTCCCTGAAAAGTTCAAAGTAGCAGGCCTCCCTGGTCGCATAGGCTTTAAAGTCTCAGCACTATCAAGCTATCTGCAGCCACTGCAGCCTGAGCTCAATCCACAGCCAGGGAGCTGACCCACATGGCCCAGCAGACCTCTCCTGGCTCACCTGCTGTTCCCCTCAGCAGTGTATTTCCATAGATCTGCCTGTTCTGCTCCCCACTCTATCTCTGCTGAATCCTCTCACATCCCTGAACCTCTAGCCTGTACCCCAGTTCTTGTATGCATCTTAAAAAAGTTCAAAGTAACTTCATCTTCATGCTCACCCATTCCTATGGTGGACTGAAATGGGGTCTCTGATCACTCAGTATTTTTTTTTTTATTGTATAGGTGTGAAAGGAAAAGCTGGACTAGTTGGTGATGTAGGTTTCCCAGGAAACAAAGGTGAAGATGGGAAAGTTGGTATTTCTGGAGATGATGGCCTTCCTGGCTCCCCAGGTACCATGGCACTTGACAACTTTATTCTGAAAAGGGGGTATTCTGGAAAAACAAAACAAAACAGAGGACTGGTTCCAAGGCATTACCCATTGTGAATTTCTGCCTTGATTTTACTTCTAGGACTCCCTGGGACTACTGGCATGAGAGGAAACCCAGGGCTTCCAGGTTTACCTGGCCGTCCAGGAACAAGTGGGACCCTGGGACTCCCTGGCCTAATAGGAACCAAAGGTATGTGTATTTGGGAGAAGGCATGTGTGTGTGTGGGGGGGGGGGAAACATCCTTAATTCAAAAAAGGATAGCAGCTACTTTATATTAGCAGGTACTAGTAGGGCTTAAGTCATATACAGATGAGGCATTGACTGGGCTGAATGAGGAATGATGGGAAAGGAATGGAGGGCACATATTCATGTAAAGAGCAGCCATCAAGAGAAGTTAGCAAGGAAGGTGTTGCCCTGGCGCATGTAGCTATTCCCTTGGAGATTGAGAAGCAAGCTGACAGCTCAAGGTCTTGACATCGGGTAATTGAAGATACCAAATTACTCCCACCCTGCTCTTAAAGCTGGACTGATCTCTAAAAAGAGTCAGGGAAATGTAGGGTCAGGGATGGCTCCATCTCCCATAAGGCATTAAGGAATGCCTTAATCAAGATCATGACCTTTAAAGTTAGATTTTGCAAAGTGCTTGGGGACTGCTAATTTTTGTTGATCCTTCATGACTCAGAGTTGCTGGAGCCATTTTTTTATGTTCTTCCCTGTCAGGTTTCCCTGGACTTCCTGGTTTACATGGACTGAATGGTCTTCCAGGAACCAAGGGAAGCCATGGAACTACAGGTAAGGAAGCCCCCATCCCCAACCCCCGCTAGGGTAAGGAGGAGAGCATTGGCCCTTCCAGAAACATGACCGTGCCTGGCCATGATTTCACGACTGTGATGTGTCCCATAGCTGAGGACACATCCATCTCCTCACCAGCTCCCTGAAGTGGAAAGGGAGGAGGAAAGAGTTTGTCCTTCCATCCAAATGAGCTTTCTTCCCTTTTATTCCAGTACTCAGCCTCTGTTATCTCTCAGGCAGGTCTCTTGGGCTCCCAGCAAGTAAACGGGGCATGAGGGCCTTACCAGTCCTGAGTTCTGTTCCCCTCTCTCTGCATATCCTTTTAGGACCTAATGTAACTGGTGTGCCTGGACCAGCTGGCCTACCTGGACCCAAAGGCGAAAAAGGCTCTCCAGGAACTGGTGTTGGAACCCCAGGGAAGCCAGGAATAAAAGGACAAAAAGGTAGCCGAGGTAAGTAAGTCCAAATCAGGCCTTGAAGAAGATGAGTGATGGGCCCAGGTTAGAGAATCAGGATTGGATATCATTAGGGTTCGCAGGCTGGAGCTGTGGATATCTTCACATCTCTGGGAATCTTGGGGCTCAACAGAACTGACTGCTGAGAAAGATAAAGTGGGCCATGCTAAGGGCTTTCCTGAGGAAGTGTCTGGGAATAGTTCAATAGTTCCTTCTAGCCTCCAAGTTCCCTGCCCCTCTCTCTTGTTAACCTCACTTGCCCAGAGCCTGGGTCCAATGGTCCTGAGGGAATGGGCTTGCCCACTTTCTAGAAGTTTACCAGGAGTAAAGATGTTCCTCAGTGTCCTGTGTAGCAGGCACACCCAAGGCCCTGGAAAGATAGTGTGGCTGCTGAACGGAGCCTAAGAGTAAGAGTTAGATTATAGGTATATGTCTCCATGGGACAGGCACACAGCACACATGTAATTCAGATTTGTTGGGAAAACAGTTTACTGGAAAGCAGGTTTTGCCCTAGTCTGGGACCCTGCCTCATCACATTGTCTGAAGTCTCTTTCTGAGCCTTCTTTCATCCACCTCTCAAATAGTATGAATTCTGGCTCTTTGACTCTCCCTGCAAATGTTCTGAAGACCCTTACGTACCCCACTTAGCAGAAACAGGAAATGAATTTAGTGTAGCCTCCAGGTAAGAGCTTGGGCTCTGCATTCAGACCAAGCTGAATTCAAATTTCAGCTCTACCTGTCACTGACCCTGTGACCTTGAACAAGGATGGTACTTGCCTTTAAATTTCAAGTGAGCCCTTAGCTTTCCTCTTCTGAAAAAAGAGAATGAACATGACAGATTTAGTGAGCATTCGATGAGGAATGAAGTCACTCACCGCAGCCCTGTCCCACAGTAGGTGCTCAAGAAATGCTGGCCATTATGTTATTACTCGTTACCTGGGGAAATCATATTTGCAAAATGTTCTCTTCCTCATAACTCTGAGGCCTGGGGTCCCACCACATTTTCCTTGCTGACGGGCATGGTTGGAACATGCCCGTACACTTTCTGGGAACTGTAGTCATACATTAATTCGTTTCCTGCTGCATTTTATATTGGTGCATCTGCTCTCTCTGTGTTTACTCTTTCCTTCAGTCGGGACCAATCTGTTCTTTACCCAAAGCCAGCAACTTCTCTAGAGAGGGTTCACACAGGGTCTGAGTCTGCAGGGAGCTTGTGTGGCTTCTTTCACAGAGATAGAGAAACAGGACATTTCCTTTCTGTTTTCAAATCTTGCTTCTGAATGCCTGGCCACTCAATTATTCATTTCCTTTAGTTGTCAGAAGTACTAAAATCACAATTCCAAATGCAGTAAACAGCATATGGCAAGATGCATACATTTCGGGAATACAGTATTGAGGGGACAGAAAAGTAAGTCGCAAAGGAATACATTTGGTTGGATGCCACTGATAAACATTTACAAATAAATAAAATCAAGTAAGACATTGCTTAGAGATACAAATTTGTGTGGCCAAACACTGATGAAAAGGAAAGATGTATACAAAATTCAGGAGTAGTTGCCTCTGAGCGGAAGGGAAGAGGCAGGATCTGTGGAAAAACTTTCAAAATTGGATGGTAGGGTCCCAGATGTTCATTGTATCTGGATTATATTTTCCATGTGATTTAGAAATACACTGCTGATCTTCTCAACACGTAATTCAGACAATTTGCTTACAACGAATACAGCAAATATCACTTCTTCCTTCTCTTAAGTACTTACCTATGATTTGATCGTGCAAGTTAATGTAAAAGGGGGATTGACGCCTAAGAGAATTTCTAGAGCAATCCCTCTCCTTATAATACCTTTAGCTAAATAACTTTAAATTATGCCTGTCGTTTGCACATTGACACTAGACCAAGAAGTTGCACCTGTATATTTAGGGTTTTTTAGCCTCTGACACTGGGTTCAGCTGGAAAAACATGCCACTTTGGAGTTCATGTGCTCATTTCAAGTGTATTATTCTTAAAGAAACACATGCACTTTTTCTTTTTTTTTTAACGGCTTGAGGTCAGTTCAGATTTGGGGGCCTTTGGGAGGAAGGACTTACTTCAAATACTTTGTCAATTGATTTACCATGGATTTACAACTGTATATAACTTTTAGCAGTATAGCTTTACAATTAGTTCCAATTTAATGATATATGGCATAATGATCAAATCCAGAAACAGGTATAGAAATGAGGAGATTCCAAAAACTGCCACAGGGAGTTTATAATCTGTGTGCTGCTCACACTGTACTGTATGTGGGGTCTCTTTTATTGGTTATGCATAATTGAAGCACAGTTTTCATAATTACATAATCATCGCATAATTTACATAGTTGTAATACACGCCTATGAAGCTATATATTCAAAGGAAAATACATTATCTTTTCAGATTTTTACATTTGCAAAAATGGCAAACGTGTCAAAGGTTCGTCAAAGATATGTGACAATATCATCAGTACTCCATATGACTTTGCAACCAGTTTGCCTTTTGTTTTTATTTTGTTTCTTTTCCAGACCCATAATAATTTGAAGACCTTCCTTGAAATGTATGGTTTCCATCTCTCCATTTCCTCAGCATTCAGTTACTGAGTGAGCTACTAAAATCACCTGAGTTAAACAACTAACCTCTTTCTTTACAGTTGGAGTTACTATACCTTACCTAAATTAAAGAGGATAAATTCATCACTTTTTTTTTTACTTTTCTTATAAAAAAATGAACCACAACATTAATATTTGGGAATTTTCATGTCACAAATATAAGTCTCAAACCAGAACAATTAATCAAGCATTTATTTCTCTTTATTTGAAAATCTTCTAAAATCTTCTAAAATAATACATTTCTTCCACGCTACCAGTATAACATGGGCTTCTATCTTTGTCTATATGGCCCTGCCATGCTTTTCCATCAAGATTACCATCTGTGGATTCGATGTATGACTATTAAATAAACCTCTATAATCAGTTGAAATTTTTGGTTTTGAACATATGTTAATAGAAATCATACCACAAACACAACATGTAGAGTGGTATGAAAATTTGCGCAAACCAGTATTAAGAACCTACTCTAATTGATGGCTATGTTTTCTCTTTGGCCAAAAAGAAGGAGGGGGTAGTGTAGACAAATTTGTTCTATAGGCTATTGGAAGAGACTTCAGTAATATGAATGACCTGTAAAGGACCTTTTTCCGTCTTGCCTAGAAATGTGAGAGGTTAGCCCTAGAAGACTTAGGGAGACACAGCACACTTGCCTGTTTTAAAGAGTTATTTATTTATGCTTACAGAACTGGGGTACAGGCCAGAGGTGCAGGGGCGGTGAGAGGCTTCACCAGAGACAGAGTGGGGAACAGAACAGACAGATTGAGAAGTACACTGCTGAGGGGAGCAGCAAGCAGCGGGCGAGACAGGAGAGGTCTGCCACGCCGTGTGGATCACCCCATGTGGGCTGGGGATCAACTCTGGGGGAAGTGGCTGCTGCCCGCTTTGCAGTGCTGTGCTTTAACCCTTTGAACCACCAGGGAGGGCTCCTCCTCTTTTCTCATCCACTCTGTCCTGACTTGTTGGGGCCTGCACCCCACCTCAATCTGTAGCCTTCTTGCAGAATCACACACACAAAAGTGGTTAACTTAAAGAAATGCACATCCTGTACAGTAGGTTTAAAATCACTGAGGGAAACGTCAGTTCCAGTGCTACAGCCCATTACCACCAAGGTTGGGGAGCTAGAACTTCCCAAAGTTCTAGCCCAATGAAATTTAGTGCCTGCGGGCATCGGTGGAGTTTGTCTGCATAGAGAAGAGCCCTCTGCTGGCATTCGCTGGTCTGACTTCTGTCTAACCACTGCCATTTTTCTGCATCAATTTCCATTTTCTCTGAAAACACCTGACCCTGTCTTTGGCACAGAAGCCCATGAAGCCCTTTCATTTATTCTTTGCAGGTCTCCCAGGTCTCCAAGGTCCTGCTGGTCAACCTGGGGCTCCAGGCCTCTCCTTGCCCTCAGTCATAGCAGGACAGCCTGGCAACCCTGGGCGACCAGGCCTAGATGGAGAAAGAGGTAAAGACAGGAAACCCCAAGAGGACTGGCCATGTCCTTTTGCCTGGAGTCAGGGTGATCCTGTACACAGTCCAGCCCAATCCCTATTACCAGATATGCACGGGCCTGTTCAGTCTCACATCCCGCCACCAGCAGGGATGCAGGATCCTGGAATGGGCTGCATTTTGTTAAAAGGGTGTGAGAAGGTCTGAGCACTAGGACCCCACAGAGGGCCAGGGGACATTCTCTGCTCTGGGAATGGACATTGGCTCCCTATCAATGCCTAGGCCTCCAGCAATGCCCACTTCCTGCTCATCTGTCCCTCCTCCCTCTTCTAATTTTACCCCTAGGCCGCCCTGGCCTCCCTGGCCCCCCAGGTCCCCCTAGACCATCGTCCAATCAAGGTGACCCTGGAGACCATGGCTTCCCTGGCATTCCTGGCCCTCAAGGGCCCAAAGGAGATCAAGGAATTCCAGGTTTTTCAGGCCTCTCTGGAGAACTAGGACTAAAAGGTAAGGCTGCTTTCCCTACTCCACAGTAGAAATGACTTCTCCCAACTAGCGCTGTGATAACGCTCTCCCCACCCCCACCTCTGTCTAGTGTCAAACCACCCCACTGCCATCAGCACCACCAAGCTAGGCCCTGACTTGCTTCCCTTTGGACTTTGCCAGGCATGAGAGGTGAGCCTGGCTTCATGGGGACTCCAGGAAAAGTTGGGCCACCTGGAGACCCAGGATTTCCCGGAACAAAAGGAAATGCAGGGCCAAGAGGTAAACTGAGCACATATGCTGGGCTGATACTTCCTGAGGGGAGGCGTGGGCATGAATAAGCCTGGATGCCTGAAGCTGCTAAATCAAGCTCCGTCAAAGAGATAGTTTTGTTACAGGACAGGGAGAGAGGGGCGCCACCAAACCCCTATTTCCTGGGGACCACTTGTTATAGTTTCTCTAACGTGGGTATCCTATGCCTCTATCAGCTCCCGGGAATGAAGGTTACTACTGCTAGTCTCCTACTACTGACTGCATTACGTTTGCATTATATCTGCATTTCTGAGCATTGAGTTTACACTCAGACCACCAGAAAGGATGTACCATCCCTTCCATCCTACTGAGATCCCACTCCCACACATCCGCTGGGTTAGCAAGCCCAGAGGGTGGTTTCTCCTGAATGTGCCTCATCCACTCCCCTCTCACCTCCACTGCTACCACCCAAGTCCAGGCCACCAGCATTGCTCATGGGAATCATTTCAGTGACCTGTTAACTGGTCTTTCTGCTCTTTTTGTGCACCTCCAGCAAATCATTTCTGCACATCTCTGTCAGGCAGAACTAACAAAATCCTCACCATGCACTCGCTTCCCATAGACTAGGAATAAACTAATCATGAACCACAAAACCCTATGTGGTTCCTCCTCTTTCATCTTCATTGCTGCTCACAGCAATTTTGCCACATAGCCTCTTTCAGTTATCCCAAAAGGCTGACGGCCTGTGGAGCCTTTGCACACGCCCGTTGTACTTCCTGGAATTTTGACTTTTAGGAATATTCCCTTCACCCTCAGTTTCTTTTAATGCTGGTCTCAGCTCAGATGCTCATAAAAGGCCACTTCTCAGTCTCCAGTGCAGGTTCTCCTCCCCACAGCGCCCTCTGCTCCCTCCCTCTGGCACTGCACTACTCATTTTCTTCAGAGCCCCACTCGTGATTCGCAGTAGGATGAGTAGTACTTGTGAGACTATGCATTGTTCATCTTTATCACCAGACTGTAACTTCCATAAATATCTTGCTTACCCACTGCTCTCCCCAGATTTACCAGGGCTCTGGCATAGTGTAAGCCTTTGAGAAATAAACAGTGAAGTAGTAGGCAATTAGCTTGTTTGGCTTCTAAGTATTGATAAATCAGCTGGCTGGACTTGGGGACCTAGGCTTTGATGACACTGAAGCTCTGGGGTTGAATGTATTCCCTGTTTCCTTTTTTTAAAAAAATTTATGTATACAAGAACTGGGGTACAGGTCAGAGGTGTGGGGGGGAGGTGAGAGGATTCACCAGAGACAGAGTGGGGAGCAGCACAGGCAGAGCTACTGAAGTACACTGCTGAGAGGAGCAGCGGGCGAGACAGGAGAGGTTTGCTGTGCCATGTGTGTCAGCTCCCTGGACGGGAATTGAACACGCGCTGCAGTAGGTGCAGAGAGCTTCATAGTGCTGTGCTGTAACCCGTTGCGCCACAGTTTTCCTGGCACTGTAGTCTAATGAGTGAGTTTGCCACCTATACGAGCCTGAGCAAAAGTTCAGCCCACTCACCATATTTTAATATATATGTCATGATTTGCTTGTGCTGGGCCCCAAGAAGACAAGATAAACATAAACTAGTCCCTGCACTCACGGAGCTGCCAACCTACTGAGGAGAGAGACCGGTAAAGAGGATGTTCCATGAAGCATGGGGGGCAGAGTGGTCCTGGCAATATCCAGTGGGAGCAAACAGGGCAGAAAGCTAGCAATTGCATGACAGAAAGGATGGCTCCATACACCTCCTTCCCTTCCACCTGACACTAACCCTCCCTCTACCTGTCCACAGGCTTCTCAGGACCTCCAGGTGCACCTGGACAAACACCAGTTGCAGAAGACATTCAGGCTCCTCCTGGACTCTCGGGTTTACCGGGCATTGATGGCACCCATGGCCTCACAGGGGACCCGGGGGTTCAAGGTCCTGAAGGCCTACAAGGTGAGGAGGTCACCAGAGACAGGAAACCGCTCAGGGAGCTGAGATAGCCTTGACAGAGGCTAAAGCAACTGGCTAGCAACTCCGACTCCCAGAGGCTGCCTTCATCAAGCATTTCCTCTGTTCCCTCACAAAGCTCCAAAGCTTCTTTCCAAGAGCTAGCAAGGCAGCTGTGCTTGCTTTTAGAGAATGTGGACACCGAGTGTAGCTGCTACTGAAGACAGATCTTCCATTACTCATGTACTGCTGGGGGAAGGACCGTGGTGGGAGATAAAGAGCCCAGGGCTGGGCTGCCTTCTAAGCCCAGTTTTGTCCTAACTGGAGTAAGCTAGCCATCTCTCTGGGCCTCAATGTCCTTATTTTTGACATGGAACACCATCAGTTGCTTCCATTCTTCTCAGTGTAGCTGGGGGGATGAGAGGAAATGAGGAGGAAATGGGTGTGAAAGGACTCAGAGGGGTAAGTTCAGAATGCTGTCCCAGGCCAGAGGCCTTGATGCCTAGGCCACCTAAGCCTGAAGGCTCAGCCAGTTCATACACCATGTATGGTGCATGCGCCCTCTCCTGGCGATTGCTGGGCATGACACACATGTCTACTTCCCTGGGGAAAGCGCCTCAGGCCCCTCTCCACATTGAGTACCCTCCCTGTGTATCTGCTCTCCTTTCAGGCTCCAGAGGTTTACCTGGCATCCCTGGCAAAGATGGTCTCAGCGGACTTCCTGGCCCGCCTGGGGCTCTGGGCAATCCTGGTCTCCCTGGACTGCAGGGCCCTCCAGGATTTGAAGGTCTGGTGATGTTGGTGCTAGGGAGCTTCTGTGAGGATTCAAAGCTTAGGGGTGACTAAAATCTCAACTCTGAGAATCAGGAGACATGGCTGTGAAGCTGGATACAACTAGAAGGCTAGGCTCAAAGACTGGGTTCTCATTCATTCACTCCCCAGCCCTCTTCGATCCTTTGAAGCATACAGCCCAACATTCCAGAAGGCAAAGGACTATTTATTGTATGCCCCCTGCCCTAGCCAGGTCTTCTGATGTGGATGAAATGGGGATGGTTTGAAGAATAGCAAAATTTGAGATAAGGTATGGTTGTCCTGCTAAGTATCTCCCATTTTATACCAGAGAATGCATACCAGTTATCCTGAGTTGGAGAACAGTCCTGAGGCTCGGCTCGGTGGGAAGGTGGTGTGATCGGTTAGCCATGTCTGCCGCAGGCAGGAGCGGAGGATGGGATTTTTTACCCTGCCAATCCCAGCTCTGCTTTTGCTACTTCAGATTCAGTAGATACTTATCTCCTATGAAAGTCTGCGAAGTTGGCCCAGGAAGTCACCCCATCTGTCCCTCCTCTCCTTGTAGAGAAGCCAAGGCCAGGTGGCTGGGGGAGGGATACCTGAGAGGGTTTTCTTGTTTTTTAAATGGGATGCTGTAGCCAGGTGCACCTGAATTGGGAATCTCGCTCCACCACTTCCACACTGTGGAATTCTCAGCTTTCCTTTCCACATCTACAAATTGGGGTGATTAGGTTGCCGAGAGGAAAGAGTGAGCTAATGTTTGAACATCACGTGTCTTGCCACAGAGTGAGCAGCTGCTGTTGTGACTGCCGCTCCCGCCTCACTTCCTTTTCTTTGCTCTGAACCTCAGGGCCTCCAGGGAAGCAGGGCCCCTACGGGAGACCAGGAATACCTGGGCAGGGCGTGAGAGTGGGCTACACGTTGGTGAAGCACAGCCAGTCGGAACAGGTGCCCCTGTGCCCCGTCGGGACGAGCCAGCTGTGGGTGGGATACAGCCTGCTCTTCGTGGAGGGCCAGGAGAAAGCCCACAACCAGGATCTCGGTAGGTACCCCTCTGACGGTCAGCCTGGTCCTCCCTCCAGCCAGGACTTAGTGCCAGGCTCCTTGCCCCACTCAGCCTGAGTGGGCCCACATGGGCTGTGGGTTAAAAGCACCAGCTCTGGTGTCAGGCAGATGGGGGCGCAACCCTGGCCTCTACCCCATACTCGGGGTGTGCCCAGGATAAGTTACTCAACCTAAGTTTCCACTTCCTCCATAGTGAACGAGGCTAATTCTAGTCCTCGTCTCATAACTCAGGGTAAGCATTGCACCAGTCACTCAAAGTCAAGTACATAGAACAACATTTGGCATATATTAAGCATCCATTACATGAGAACGATTAGTGCAATAACAGTCTGACCTGTGAGGCAGCACTTATTATCCAAGAATTAATCGTCTCTTCTACAGGTGGGCTGACCCTGAAACAGGCTCATTCTATTAAAAGCCAGTTTTACAAAGCACATAATTAGGCAGCATCGCTCAGCTTATAACAAGGCTCTTTTCATTATCAAACTTCCCTGCTATGTTGAAAATCGGATTTGCTCAACAGACCCGAGTGTGTGTGTAGTGTTGCAGGATGGCACAGAGAGCCATCCTGCTGTGGATGGTCAGCCCACACCAGCATCTAGCCCAGCTCCAGTGGTCCTGGGCGAATGCCAGCTCTGCCCCTCAGCCCAACCTTGCCTGCCCACTGTCTTTCCTTCCAGGGTTTGCTGGCTCCTGCCTACCCCGCTTTAGCACTATGCCCTTCATCTACTGCAACATCAATGAGGTGTGCCACTACGCCAGGCGCAACGATAAATCCTACTGGCTCTCCACCACCGCCCCCATCCCCATGATGCCTGTTGGCCAGACCCAGATTCCCCGGTACATCAGCCGCTGTTCTGTGTGTGAGGCACCCTCGCAAGCCATCGCTGTGCACAGCCAGGACGTCACCATTCCGCACTGCCCCCTGGGCTGGCGCAGCCTCTGGATCGGGTACTCCTTCCTCATGGTAAGGCCCTGCACTGTCTTCCACCTGTTTGGATGCAGGGAGATTGCTCACACTGATTCCTGGGCACAAGGGACACTGGGTAGAAAGCATAGAGTGAAAGGAAGGAAAATGCTTGGCCTAGGCTTGCTGAAGGCCAGAGAGCCCAGTTCTACATGCCTGATGGGTAAATTATGGGTCTGAGCAGAAAGGGGCAGTCTGTACCCAGTGGTTCATGGGTCAGAATATCCTTGCATCAACTGCAAAGTCCTTAACATCGCCATGCCTGCCTTAAGTGTGCCATAAGCACAGGAATGAGGATATACCTAATCTGGGTAGACAGTGAGGGAGAGGCTCTCCCCACTTGGTGCCAGAATACCCTCTCACTGGCCTGGCACAGGGGTGCGTGCACTCCCCACTCTTCTGCCCACCCTTTCTCCCCAGCCCCTCTTCTGCTGTCATCTCCCCTCAGAGGTTCAGGTGGGGTCATGCTGTGTCCACATACTCGTGGGGATTCTCGATGTCTCCATTTCAGCAGGCAGCCAGCAGCTGGCAGCCAGCAGACTATGTGCCTTACTAAGAGCTCAGAATACTTGCTGACCCAAAGGAGGCTTTCTGGGGACATTCTATCTAGTGAAAGTTCAGGTTAAAGGACAAGATCACTCCCAGGGGAAAACCCACTAGACTACCCTGCCCCGCAGAGCTTCTTTGCTGAACTGCCAGGATGAGATGGTGCAAGTGTGGTTGAAGAATGACTATAGCACAGGCTTCTCCACAGTAGTGCAAAGGGGTGAGGTTCATCCTTGTTTTGCCATCTCTGATGTATTATTAACACTGAATCATCTCACCTATCATTGTGTCCTGTCTTCCACACGGACCAGATAATTAGGAGACAAGGCCCCCGAGGAATGGCACAGAAGCTTTACAGGAGTTCTCCCTTGCTTTGCTCACGGGAACACCCTTAAGCCCTTATTCAAAACACCCTGACTCTTACTTGACACATAATTCAAACATTAGCATCCCTATTTTCTTCAGAACATGTGTAGTGGTGGGCATTTGGATGGTCTGGTAAAGCACATGGAAGTAGTGAGACATGCCTACTAGAAAGGAGAGGAGAGGGAGAATAAACCAAAAGCTGTGTGCCTTGGGGCGGCCCCTGCACAATGGCCCAGTACAAAATTTGAAGTTCCCAACCACACGCCTGGGCCATCTGCAACGTTGACAGTACATGATGTTTGCCATGTAGTAAGGCAGGAAATGTGTTGTTTGTTCTGGAAAGTTTTCTGAGCATCAAACTGAGGAAAATGTGGATGTCTCCTTTTCAGGAAAGGTCCCTTAGATGGAGACTCACTCTCCCGAAGTTCTGCAAAGCAAAGCAAAGCTTCACTATGTGTCCAACTTGGCTATTTGCTGACTCGTTGTGTATATGGCCTCTTCCCCAGCTCCTGAGGCCCAATTTACAAGTCATTTGAGTTGAAGGAAGAGGGACAGGCAGATGGAGAGACAGAAGCAGCCGCTTAATGTCTGTGGTAACCAGAGACCTTCCTGGGCCTGTGAGGGGCACTAACAGGGCAATCCTAAAATAGCAGTGAGGGGGCCCTCGGAAGTGAGGTCAAGGCTGTCAGGCCAAATATGGGACCCTTATGCTCGGCCAGGAACCAGTGTCTGTCATCAGAAATGATGTGGTGGGGGTTAGAACCATGACAAGCTCTAAAGGAGTAGCTTCAGGTGAGGCGCTATTGGTAGACAGGCTGGGGGAGAGGGGTCATGGCTGGACGAGTCTGGAGCACTGCATGTGCTTTGCCTTCTTGGAGTACGCCGCCGAGGTCTTGGAGTAGACCGGGAGAACAATTGTCTTCCAAAACCTATCGAACTTTCATCCATCCTTTCTCACTTACCTGTCTGTGGAAACCCATGCGGGAGTACCAGTATACCTCAGCATTCAGTTTGGGAAACATGGCTGAGCTGTGGTGCTGAGCTTGCACAGTGGGTTAGGAAGGCACTTGGGAGCTTGGAGGGGTGCTTCTGCCCTAAGGTGCTACAAGGGAGGCTGAGCAGCCCCCAGTCCCAAAAAAACAGCTTTTGTTATATTGACTTAACTGCTGGCGTTGAGCCAAGGGGCCAGAGCGAGGCAGAGCAGTGAGCCCGTGAGCTGAGTTCTTAGCTCATCCAGCCACCTGGGTCTGTTGCAGCACACTGCCGCTGGCGCCGAGGGGGGAGGCCAGTCCCTGGTCTCGCCTGGCTCCTGCCTGGAGGATTTCAGAGCCACTCCTTTCATCGAATGCAGTGGTGCCCGGGGTACCTGCCACTACTTTGCCAACAAGTACAGTTTCTGGTTGACAACAGTGGAGGAGAGGCAGCAATTTCGGGAGGAGCCTGTATCGGAAACGCTGAAAGCCGGACAGCTCCACACCCGAATCAGCCGCTGCCAGGTGTGTATGAAGAGCATGTAGGAGGCACATGTCACTCTGCCCTTTGCTTTCCCCTGCCCCACACTATGGCCACCTCACAGAGTCTGAAGAAGGAAGGCCTAAACCCTTTGCCCACCTGTCAAGCTGCACATTGGAGTCTCACTTAGGCTGGACTACTGGACACTGGCCACCCAACCCTCAGGCCCAATGGGTGAGCTCATGCTGCTGACATCTGCATCCCATTTCAGTCAACTTGGTGCTACCCTTTGATTCAGACGTTTGTGTGACTACTCATGGCTACCTCAGAAAGACCTGCCAGGCCACCACTTTCTTAGACTGCTGTCTTGATCAGAGGGATTTTCAGAATAGCGAATAGGTCTTTTTTTTTTTTTTTCATGTCCTGAGGTCACCACACATTATTTGGCTGAAGCCAGAATCCAGTGTTCCCACAGAAAAAAAAAAAAAGAAAGAAAAGAAATTCTTTCACCAAACATTCATGGATGGTTCCAATCTGCAGAGGGCAAACTATCACTCTTCAAGGAGTCCCACTCTGTCTAGGAAGGCAGCAAAGCTGCAATGAAAGGGACAGCCAGGAGCCTGAGGTGAGCTGTGACTCTGAGAGTGAGCATGACTGGGCCCTATATTGCATAAGGAGGTCTGAGGGCCAGCAGTTGAAAGGGGCTCATTAGCTTCATATGGTCCTAGACAAATCACTTCCTCCTTGCCAGTTCCCTCCCTTAGTCAGAGACTAAGAGTAGAGCAGAGGATGCACCAAATGTATCCAGGCCCATGAAGGGAAATGAGAATCACAGTCCTTTCCCCTAGGCTGGGTAGAGGGGCGGATGGGTAAGAGGTGTGAATTTTGCTTTTACCTCCAGGGAAAGAAAAGGGTAAATCCCTTGTCTCAATTTCTCAGAAGTCTCTCCTATTCCAAATGCCATCCAGATGTGTGAAATGTGGCAACTGAAGCTACAGTGTGTTGGTTCCTCTGCATTTTGTGGCTGGTAGAGATTTTCTATTAAAATGTCCATCTAGTTGCTTTTTCACCAGTAGCCTGTCGAGCTATTTTTAATGTTCTAAAACCTCATAAAAATCTGGCATACTTCTCTCTTTAGCAGCTGGCAGATCTAATGCAAGCCTGAGTTTATATCAAGTGTGCTGTATTCTGCCTGGGGCAATTTGTTTTAACCACTCCTTTTATTATCAATTTCCCAGAATACTCTTAACCACGTTGACATGAGGCAATTTCTTTCAGGTGATTTTGTTTCCTTAAATATTATGTAAACGGTGCCAATACAGAAAAAGCTAATCAGTATAATCTGAATTAGTGTGACCTTCACCTCCTATCTGAATAATAAGCATGGGGTCAGCATTGTACATTGCAAATTAAAGGAATTAAATATGAACATTTGACTCTTTTGATTTTCTTTAATGAAAACTTTTCTAAAGTCCATCTTACTACAAATCATGAGTCCACTCAAAGTCATGAGGTTTCCTGTTACTGTGAGCCAAACTTTGTAACAAAACATTGAAGCAAGAAAAATACAATTAAAATCAAAGGGCAAAGAGAGTCCTATGACAGGCAACAAATCCACAGCCTGCTTCAAGATAAGTTTATGACTGTCAGTGTCCACACTTCTGGGACCTCAGGAACATTTACAGGTAAATCAAAAGTAAAGGAATGCAAAAGTCATTTAAAAAATCAAATCTAAGTTACATGTGCATGTATTTATATATGCATAAAATATATCGTCTGGAAGAATAAACAAGAAATTAATAATTGGGAGCTCTCAGGGGAGGAAAGTAACTCAGTTTCACTGAATAACCTTTGCACCTTTTGAATTTTGAACCACTGGAAAATATTGCCATCTGGGAAAAATGGAATCTAAGGAAACAAGTGGTCTGATATTCCTAAACGTAAAAAAAAAAAAAAACCAACAACTTGGTTTGGTACCAGTTTTCACACCCCAGTTGCTGGCCTTCCTCAGGACTAGTTGCATACAGTTAAGAGGGTAAGGAGAGGAAAATGGAAAGACACCACTGGTACATACAAGGCAATTCCTTGGAGAATCAGCAAAGCCAGTTTGATGGATATGTGCTTTAAAAATAAGTATGTTGCTAGTGCTGAAATGGTTTGGGACTGTATCTGCTGCACAGATCAAATGTCACTGAACGAATAAATTCTTTCTAACTATGGTTGTAAATTGAAAATTGAGATTTGCGTAAACACGATTTTTAGTTTTCCAAGCAAAAATCAATAGTTTGAGTCAGTGATTAGCAAGCTACAGTGTATGGGAAAATTCAGCACTCCACCTGTTTTAGTAAATAATTCTTAGTGGTTTACAGCCAGACTCTTTCGCGTGTATATTTTCCATGGCTCCTTTTGTGCTTCAACAGGAGAGTTGAGAAGCTGTGACAGAGACCACATGGCATTGCAAAGCCTAAAATATTCACTGTCTGGACATTTACAGAAAAACTTTGCTGGCCTTTGATTTCAGTGATTATGTTTTAAGTATAGGGTGACATCTGAGAAAAGCATCAATAAGGATGGGGACAGTTACCCATCAAACAATAAGATTCCTCCAGATAGGAAGGAGATCACCAAGTGTACATCGGATGTAATATCCTTGGCAAACTTCTTGATATAAATTATAATTACTTAGGATACATATTCAAATAATGTAACAAGAATGGTTCTCCCTGATGCAATCACTTTATTATTAGAGCAAGAAAACGGACTGCTTCTTAGCATTTAGCCCAAAAAAGGACACACCTGACAGGTGAAGAAGCACAGGGTAACCATCTTTCATCTGCTGGTGCTTGAACAAGGTGGGAAATGTCCGTTGTCCAGATGTCCACCATCTTGTTCCAGTAGCTGGACACTTGCTGTGGCCAGCTTGGGAAGCAAAGGATGATGCCTAATCTTTCTGCTCCTCGTCTCCATGATTGTGCTGCTTCTTTCTGGGGAACAGTTGCTTCTTTCTTTCTTCCTCTCTGATAAATGGTGATTGGCTCAGACATGATTAGTATCAAGTTTGTATGCTGTTGGCATATCAGGCACTTGCTGACTAGAAAAGTTTTATGTCATGAGTTCGTGTTCTTCTGGTGCCAGATGGAAGACAGATCTCTAAGTTGAGTACCCACTATTCTATACACTCAGAATCTCAAAATCTTCCTCCAGGTCAAGCTCCTCTAATTGTTCAGTAGAGTCAATGAATTCTATCACAATACAGAAACGAGAAAAAAGACATGCTTGACACTGAGATTGAAGCAATAGCTACATTACTCAGTGGTTAAGACTGGGCATTTTTTCATTGTTTTGCCAAAGAAAAGTTTGTGTGGAGGAGATGTGGACTTAGGACCATTATTAGCAAATGATATAAATTCTCTATAAGAGTCAAAATAACTGAATTTGTTAACTTAGTTCTAATTACCACGATGAGGCTGAGGCTCAGCCACATCTTTCAGGTACCCTGAGAACTACTCATAGCCTCTGCTTTGTTATTCTGAAATAACCAGACCATGAAAAATACTTCGTCATTTTGATTTTGCACTGAACTTTTACACTGAGTTCATGTCCTATTAGCATTCTTTGAAATTGTTGAGTTCATCAAATGATTAAAATAATAATCAGTAATACCATTCCCTTGACCAGTCCGGCCCACTAAAAAATGTTACATTCCATGGAAAGCATAAGCCTCTGTCACCTCTGTATCATAAAATAATTGCCACGTGTGGGTCTGCTGGCCAGAAAGTCAACCCTACTAGAGCTTACCTGCCCCAGTGGTCGTCACTTCTGGCTTAGCTGGAGGAACAAAGGGAGGCCAGTGTGATGGATGTTTCTGAACTAATTCAAACATCCTTAAATTCTCCTTTAGAATTTCCTGAGGAGACACAGAAACCACTGTAAACACTACAGGTCACTACGTTTCTGTCTTATTGGCAATCTATGACCCCCAAATCCTAAAAGAGTATTGAGAGATGAGAACAAAACCTAGCAAATACACCCATCCTCGATTTGACCCATGTGAAGATCAAGCTCTTTTCAATTCTACATGCAGATGGTCAGAAAGGACTATCTGATGGAAGGCCAGCACTCTTTACCCGTGCTCCATCATGAAGGTCAGGTCCCGTGCTGGCCACGTGGGCCCAACTCACTCTTAGGGGTGAGCTATTCCTGAATTGTTGGCCAAAGAAATGTTGATCAATCGTATTGTATCTGAGCCCAGAGAATAGTTAGTACATATTGGGGGAGATTCAATTTTAGTTCAACACGATGGTATAGGTCCTCATTTAAATGGCTCAGTCATATCAGGAAAATTTCATTCTAATTTGAAGTGTTGTATCCACACAGTTTTGCTACATTTGGAAATGCATGTAATTTGCCTTTAGAAACTATATTTCCATTATGTCTTAACTAATTATAAAGTGTGGCTTCAGATTCAGCTAGGGACATCAGTGTTAAAATCATTTGTTGACTCATGAAGAAAAATCTCCCCTCTTTACACTTGCAAAAGGTCCTGGGTTCCTAACACTCTAATCCCTTTGTTTTGCTGACAGAACATCATGTCTCCCGATACCCCATCTAGAACTCTTTAAACTATTCTCTATGATCTCCCTTCAGTCTTTCAACAAGCATTGCTCAATGTCTCCCACACATTTGGCATATGTTAGAAGCTGAGGAGGAGGGAGGCAGACACAAACATTGATGGTCCAGCAAGATAATAAATACCGCTTTACACAAGATAGCAAAAAGAACAATTTATTTCAGTGTTTGCACAGATTTTTATAATTTTTATTTAAGTGGTGGCATGCACTTAAGTTTTATATGGCTATGAAAATTAATAGAAAGGCAGGCCAACTAAAATATGATGGAATATATTAAGCTCTAAGCAGATGAAACAGACAAGTAGTTTAGTTTCTTCAATCATAGTTTAGTTGCATCAACCATAATTTAGTTTCTTCAACCATCTTATGAACAGAATATGGACAGAGGGAGAATTTAGGCTGAGCTACATGAAATTGCCATTTTTAGTTTAAAATGGCAGTGATATTAGTTGAATATGCCATATGACTTGTAGGCTTAAAGAGATGGAATATTAAAATAGCTAAAAAAACTCACTTGACATATACTAAGAATATTTCAAACAAAAGTTCCTTGGTGCCCAAAGTTATGTGCAATCCCCACATCTTTGTTTCTTTCTCTTGCAATAATTTCCTATCAGGCTAGGCTTATGTATTTATGAAAAACAATCCTAATAATTAACCATATTGAATAACTTTTTTTTAAGACTGAGAAAAATATACATCTTTACCTTTTGAACAAGACTACACCAGCTATCAAAGTCTTTCTCTTCTTTGCAGAAAAATCCCTTTGGGAAGGGGGAAGAAGGAAAAGAACACAATTTAGAACTGGTCAGGGGACAACAGTTTCATTGTACCATAGAGCTCTTTTGGATGAGTCTCCCAGTGAGGAGGAAGGCTGGGACTGTTCCTCCCTTCCCCCTCTCCCTGCATGCTGTGAGGCAGTAGCTCGAAGATCAATCATCAAAGCATGGGGTTGATCCTATCCATTCAGTGCACAAGCACATACATTCATAATGAATACTCAATTCATTGGTGATATTTATACAGCTACTGAGGTGAGAAGCTGAAATCTATATAGTATCATGAATCAATATTGCCTAAAAAAAGAAAACAATAGCCAATTCAACTAGCAAACAAAAGCTAAATGGAAATATTTGGTTAGAGGAAATATTTAATAAGGAAATTATCCATTAGAATAAAGACAATCATCAGCCTCCTTCCCCCATGCCGGCTTAACGTAGTGAAAGAACGGCCCAAAGCAAGAGGAGGAAGGCAGCTCTGGATCACTGATACCCTGACAGTTGGGTTAAACTGGAAGAGGAATGCAGACAGGCCTCAGAACCCCTGGCTACTTCACAGGCAGTTAATTCAGTGTGTAGATAGCAGATGCACATCCAGAGGAAAACCTCACTTCCTGGATTGTGAGCTCAGAGAAATGGGCATGGTTCACTCAGTGTGTCTTGTCCCCTTCCCCTCTCACTATGGCCCACCTCTTCCTTTTCCCTATGTGGCAGTAATTACAGGGCAAGAAGGAAAGGGGAAAAGATGGTTACACTTGTAGCTAATGCTTATAGGATGCTTCCACTATGCCAGGCACTGTGCTAAGTGCCTTGCACACAGTGTGCCTCATACAACCCTACAAGGAAGGAACTACTATTGTACTCATTTTATGGAAAAGAAGACCGAGATTCAGAAAGGTGAAGAGACTCCTCCTAAGGCCATAGCTGTGAGTGGCAGGGTATAGCTATGAACCTAAGCAGTCTGGCTCAGGGTCCATTCCTTCTCCCTATACTACACTGCCTCGCATGGGTGAGCAAGTGTACTCCAGCCACCCTACCTAGTAATCGGGGCAACTCACAGGGAACCGATGTGTAACAGGGTACAGCGTATCTCTTGGCCCATCCAAGCTTCAGATACCCACCAATGCTACAGAAGGATCCAAGTTCAGGATATTCATTCGCTGGGGTGACTGTAGGCAATGGAAAGTCTGGTCATCAACCATTCCATTCTCTTCAGTGTCAACGAAGGTCTGGGTTGTGTGAGGGTCCAAGAAAATGAGTTCATCTCCTGTTATGAATGACACACATTTAACCTTCGTAGATTTACTGGCGCTGGTCCCATTGCTGTCCTTGGGAAGAGGCTCTCTGGTTTTCCTAACCCCTCCTTTTGTGACAATGAGAATGAGATGACAGAAAGCCTGAAGTAGGTGAGCATGCTGAAAGGCAGCCACCCACACCCACACCCAATCACTCAATGAGAAGATTTGTCCTAGCATTTACATCTCCTCAGAGTTCAAGTCCAGAAACAGAAAGTGACAGTTTTGGCAAAAGGTGGGAATGAGAGACCACAGATGACATGGCAGGCTCTGTGAGCAGCAGTAGCAAAGAGGTGGGAAGTAGAATCACCAGGCTGTAAGTTCAGGTGCCATTGGGAAGCTTCCTGCATCTTTCAACATGGGAAAGCATGTTGCTCCAGACCATGGGTTCTCAGAGCTGCGGCCACAGAGCATTAACTGGTCATGAAAAAGGCCTTTGTCTGTGAGAGAAGTGGACTTGCTGATCTGCTACTGCTGACATATAAGTTGCTGCCTTAAGTCTTGATTAGCTAGCAAGTTAGCCATTGTGAGCAAGTTAATAATTCCTGTCAGAAAATACTGCCTTGGTCACATTAGATCAGCACCGACAGACCTTCCTGGCAAAATTCACTTTGCAGTGATCAGCCTTGACAGATAGAAGAATAGCATGCTTCATTAAATTGCAAAAAAAAAAAAAAAAAAAAAAACTAGCCCGGTAATGACCTGGGAGGAATTGGGGATAATACAGTCTGTACTTCAATCTGTTGTCCAAAGCACTAGAATCCTCTAATGCTCATCAGAGGCACACTGAGCAGGTTAGAGTACCTAATGGGGCCCCCCGACCTCACTGTCCAGGGCTGAATACCATGTGAGTTTTGTTTTCTAGAAGGAGTCAGGCAACCAGGGACAGATGGACCTGCAGCAGGAAGATGGGACAGGGAGGGAGGCCCCAAGGGCCCTCCCAGGAATGGCATCCAGAATTATGGTGGGCACAGTTGTAGGCAAAGAATGTGCTTCTGATGTCTGATGAAAAACTTCACTTATCTCTCACAGACTGAACATAAACAACTGATCTCACTTTCTGTCTTAACTTTCTTGTTTAAAACTGGGTCACTGGGCCCAGGAACCTCACAAGGCTTCATAAGATCCAGAAGATTTCACCTCTATAAAATGCTAAAACACAATAGAAACACAAGGCGGAGATGGCAGTATCTTGCTTATACTCAGAAGCATTTCCCTATAAACAAAGGTTTAAGAGTATTTGGAGATAAAAGAAAAAACTCAAGTCACAATGAAGAGCAATGACCAGGATGTACAGAAGAAAGCCAACATAAGATCATAGATGGTAAGAGGAAAAAAGGAAGCTAGGGAAATGGAAAGTCACAGCAGTGTGTCCTCTCTGACTCTGGTCCTTCCCTATGGGTAGGGCGGGGTGTGGGATGTGTGTGTGTATGTTGTTGTAGGAGGAGGAGGGGAGGAAGAATTTTCAGGCTGTCCATTTCTGAAAGTGCTTAAAAGAGATACAGTTGAAAACCTAAAATGCCCTAGAAAAGCTGTAGGAACTAAACCAAGATCCCTAATGAGGCACAAGGAAAAGCAGGCTGCTCAACCTCCTGCAGAAACAGGGTCCAAGCTACAGACCTCCAGGTAGCAACCTCTTTCTAAGGCAGGAACAAACATCTGCTCTAAGCAAGCAAGATCTGACAGCCAGAGTCTTCCACTGACCACTGTCTCCCACACTGAGAGTTTCCCCAGCTTCCCAGTGGGTAAGAGGACCCTCAAGAAACGTGTTGTGGGAGGCAGAGATGGCCAAATTGGGGTGGGATCCTGGCCTCACAGGGGATGTAATTATACCTATATGTCTATACACACATGTGTGTATCTACGCATACACATATAAACAAATATAGATAGAGAGACAGAAGATGAGAGATAGAGAACTCTATAGAATACCTGATATAAGACACCTTTTCAGAAGATAGCAGTTCTCTGCCATATTCTTCTGTTCCTCCTTCAGACATTCTACCAATCTGGATCCCTCAACCCCATACAGGAAGTGAGTCAGAAAAGAGGAATTCAGGGGACTTTTGAGCCTCAAGTGAAGGTTTAACAAAGGGTTTATGGAAGTTAATTGCCAAATGCGTACTATGTAAACCTCTGTCTCAGGAACTGAGACTTGCCCACACCACTTGAATGAATAGGCGGACTCCACAGAAGTCACTCCAACTCAGTGGCTTCGGCAATAAGAGGGCTACAGCAGCTGGTGAATTCCTTCTGGATAATGGGGTGAGGAGGCCCGGGCCCATTGAGATCCCTCCAAAATCATTTTACGATCCTTTTCAAACTTATCTTCAGGATAAAACAATAGATTTTGCAACATGTTTATTCACAGTAACCCAAAACCTTAGAAACAGAAGCTATATAAATCTACATAACTCCAAATATTGGGTTTTTGTACTTGTAATAAATGAAAGCCTCCATGGTTTCATTTTCCATCAAGCTGTAGTTCTTAGGAGAAACCAATAGATGGCGGTATTAGCAAGCACCCAGCAACTATGAGGAAAGAAATCACAGAGGAAAGAGGTGCTGGGGTCAGGCAGGCCGGAGCCACCTTTTTCTGAGCCTATACTACAAGCCTGGCTCTCTGCTGAGTGACCTACTGTGATGATAACTTGGCCAATCAGATGCTGTCCCTATTTTTCATCTAAGGAACCCAAGACTAAAACAGTTGACACACTTCCGGCAGTCACACAGCTAGCAAATGGGGGGGTCTGACAGACAAGACCAGATATGTCTGCTTCCACTTGGCCTCACCTCCCCGATCTCTGTGGGAGGGCAACCACGTTCATCTTACCCTATCCTCTGCACACCCTTCATGCATTTCCCCTATCTGCTCTGCCTCTTCCCTGCCTACTAAGGCTCTCCCTTGCAGTCTAAGCTCATAATGTCCTTGAGGCCCAGTTTGCGACCACTCCACTCCTGAGAAAGGTGTCCTGTACCATATTTCCCTAGCAGCATCCCTCCTGTAGCTGGGTTTTCAGCACTAACCAGTGTCTAGGCCCTTGGTACTCAAAGTATGGTGTGTGTGCACCAGTGGGACCAGCACCACCTGGTTAGAAATGCAGAATCTCAGCCCCACTCCAGACCTGACAGACCTGCATCTGAATAGGCTCTCAAGGCATGCGCACAATCAGGTTTAAGAAGCACTGGGCTAGCTCACCTTGTATGCCAAGGGCCTTAAATGTCTCTGGTCACAGCTAGTGAATAGGAAGGCTGGGCTGCTTGTTAGGATCCACATTAGGAGGTTAGTGCTCGGAAGGCTTAAGCCCATTATCAGAAAAGAGATACACTTGTCTTTGCTCCCGCTAGTTTCTACCCAGTCATGGCTCAGAACAATGAGCCAGCAGGCCCAGTGGTGTGGGTGTAGGAACCACAGAATGCACCTTGCCTGAATGCCCGAGTCTTAACAAGAGGGGGCAAGGTCAGGGGAGTGGAAACTCACTGTCCTGGGCTCCACAGGAAGGAGAAAGATGTGCTGAAGCAATGCTGAGACCCTGGGCAGTCCAGTGGGAAAACAGCCCTGGAACATCTTATCAAGGGACAAGGAAGCGGAGGCCTTGAAAGAGACGCTGCCCTCAGCAGATACAGAGAAGTGTCACTCTCCACAGAGCAGGTCAGAGACAGAGGGCGCAGACCAGAGACCACAGCATCTCCAGGCCAGACAAGGGCCCTGACTGGAACTGCCTGATCTCCCGTGCAAACCTTCTGCCCACCCTCCCCTAGCCCACCGTGACTTACTTGTGAGTTCTCTTTTCTTACCTAAGAATCCTATGAAATAATAGGCGTTATTTGGTTTTCCTCCTAATGCCCCTAAAGACTGTGGCATCTTAAAACACTCCTAGAGGGAAAGAGAATGCAAGATTCTCAACTCACTTGTGGACTGCTGCTCACGGATCTCCGTGCTCACATGGTGGTGTGATGGGCAGGCGGCAATGCGCTGGGGGGAAAGGTGCAACTTACTTTGAACGCATCAACATAGACAGGATTGATTTGGTTTATGCCCAGGCGAAGGGGCACAATGAGCAGCAGGGGTTTCCAGGTTGGGCAGCAGACAGAGGTGCCCTTACTCTGGCTCGAAGCATTCAGAGAATCAGGAGGGCTCTCACTGACTGGATCAGCACTCAAGGAAAGGACACAGCACATTTTTTCTAGAAACAAAAGATAAGGGAGCTGGTTAAATTAGGGATGTCCAGCCCTACTCCAAGAGTAAAACTAAGACAGACCTCACATGATGCCCCCTTCTTGAAGGACCCTCCCCTCCCTGACCAGGGCCCAGCTCATGGCATGGCCACAGGAAGTCCAGGTCACTCCTCCCCCTTTCTCCCTTCCTCCCCACCCCCAGCTTTCTGAATGATGAGGAAGGACCTCATCAACTGGGAGGTAAACAGGCCACAACTCACTGATATCTTCAATGACCACTGTGTTATCCATTGAAACATAAACAGCCAAGGAATTCCATTCATCAAATAAAGCAAGTTTTCTGCAAAACAACATACAATAAAATCATAGTTGGGAAAAGGGAACTATGAGAAAGAAGAGCTATAATATATGCCCAGCATTCCTGAAGTCAGCGGACACTGAGCCACAGAGAAGCTGGGGCTCAGGTCAGCTCTGACTTCTTTGGCTAGGCTGTGGAACTTTCCATGTCCAGGGACCTTAGGAATGGTGCAATCACTGTTTCTAAACTTTGAAAAGAAGGTCCTGCCATACAAAATGGAAAAGAATCCATTTCATAAAAATGCTACTCCTACTGAGTGAAACAGAATATTGACCAATAATATCTACTCCCAGGAGATTTTTCTCTTCTTTTAAAGATATTTATTTATATGTAGAAGATCAGAGGTGTTAGCAAGAGGTGTGGCAGCGGGTAAAGAGAAATGAGAGGATTCACCAGAGACAGAGTGGGGAGTAGAACATGTGGACCTCTGTTGTGTCATGTGGGTCACCACCCTAGCCGGGGATCGAACTCATGCTGCAGTGGCTGGTAATAGCTTCACAGTGCTGAGACTTAACCCCAAGGCCATCAGAGAGGTCCTTGTTTTTTATTTTCTTAAAGTAAAAACATTCTGACTTACTATTCTTTTCGGAAAAGGAAATTATCATTAACATATACACACATGTGCATACTCATATACATAGATATGTACACACACACACACACAAGCATAGATAATGTAGAGCATAAGGCCCAAGAACAGCCCTCCCCACCTGCAGTGAGAATGCTGTTCAGGACAGTTGGGCTGCAGAGGGCCTGGGCGTAGGGTCTTACTGGTTAATAGTTGAAGAGAAAGAACACTGAATTGTGTGACTTCAGCAGAGATAAGAAAGCAAGCACTCTTAAAAGAGATTACCTGAGGTTAAGTAAAGTCCCATGCCTATTTCTCCCTTACCTTCTCCTCTTAACAGTTTGTGAGAAGACATGTTTAAACTGGCTTCCTCTGGGATTCCAGTTTAAAGTCTAGCACACTAAATAAATAAAAAGCATTCTTTCCCAAACCAAAGTAGCTCCCAGGAAGAGGTTAATTATCATTACATTTTCATTTCATATATTTTAATGTATTATCTTCCCCTCAAATAATAATAATGACATCACCATCATGATCTATGATTACTAATAATAATAATCGTGATGCATTAGAACAAACTTAAATTTGTTAAGAATGTATTCTTACATTTGTTATTGGGAACCTCAACATTTACAAGGAAGAAGCATGTGCTGAAAGTTGTCGTTTAAAAACCACTTCAGGCCCTCCATGGCGGCACAGTGGGTTAGGATGCAGCCACAGCTGCTTCAGTGCGAGTTCAATCCCCAGCCCTGGAGGTGATCCACATGGCACGGCAGACCTCTCCTGACCCGCCCGCTGCTCCCCTCAGCAGTGTACTTCCTCGATCTGCCTGTTCTGCTCCCCACTCTGTCTCTGGTGAAGCCTCTCACCACCCCTGCACCTCTGGCTTATACCCCAGTTCTGTATGCACAAATAAATAAATCTTTAAAAAAAAAAAAAACCTTCAAACTGGGTTTGGGATGGGGCATAACTATTCTAATATTCTAATCTTCCACAGTTTCTACTTTGGGTTCTTGCAGTGCTTTCCAAGACTGCCAGATCCTCACTCGCAGAGACAAGGATGTCCCAAGAGGCACTACGGACAAAGGCAAGCAAGTCTCAGTAAGGCTGCACTGTTAGACGAACAATAAAGCCAAGATTTCACTTGGGTCCCCAAGAAATCCATACTACTCCCATCACAAGCACATTTCAAACCTTTCTGGTTCACTAAACACCAGCTGACACTGAATCAGTGGCCCAACTGTCGTTTGCATGGAACAGGTCCCTCCATCATGGCTCAAAGGGCCCAGGAGTTGAAACCCATGACACTAAAGAATCCACATAGTTTCAATTTTCTGGTGCCAAAGGCCAGCCCCATTCTGGCTGCCATTTTCAGTCATTCATCAAATATTTCTTGTGCGCATACATGTACCAGGATGCTTTATGTGCTGTTGTTACAGTAAGCGAACAAGGCAAAGATGATCACTATCCCTTGGAGTTTTTATTCAGTGGTAGGTTGTCAGGAAGGAGAGTGATAACAGGTGAGGTGGCCTGCAGGTGGTGGTGCTAATCCCACTATCCTATCATCCTATCCTCTTCCAAAACATTGGTTCTGGCCTCTCCACTTTGCCTTTTGTTGTGGGAGGTGAATTCTGGGGTTTAACGGGACAGCTGCAAAAATGCCATGCTGGCATACGATGTGTCTGGAAAGACGTGACAAACTGAGTCCAAGATTCTCTTGGGGTTTACTTCCCCAACATAAGTTCCTCGAGGCAAGGACTGTATACATCCAGTGCTTGGTACAACAGAGTACCCAGTAAATACTGAACGAAAGAATGAATGATTTTAACACTAGAGAGAGTGGAGTCTATGACAAACCTAGGCTATCTCTGCCTCCTCCTCTTAGTATGAACCTTTGGACTTCAAAGTGACCTCAGGCTCAGGCTGCCAGCTGCTGGCATGTGACCACCAATCTGCAGTGGAGAATATGAATGCAAACTGAATATGAATGTGAATGTGAATAGAAATAGGATTAGGCAAATGAATAGGAACAGGAATAGGCAAAGGAATAGGAATAGGCAGAGGAATAGGAATAGGAATGAGTATGAGGTGCCTCCACATATACTGGGTACCAGTGACTACAACTCTGATATACCAAGACAGATATCCACACGTATTACACATTTCAAAGAACTGTATAAACAATATGGCACAGATATTTGGTGGCCTGGTGGGAGGGATGGTTTAGTGGGATGGCATGAGCAGTTAAGTTATGGGAGGTTGGGTCATTGGTGGAGGGAGGCATAGGACAAAGAAGAAGTAGGCAGATGCCAGATTCTTTTACTTACTTTAATACCTGTGCAACTGTGTTTGGTCCAAACCATTCGCCAATTGATTTCCCTTCTCCTACACCCATTTGTGCTGTTTTTACGTGGGGGGAAAAAAATACATTAGCAAAAGGTCTTCCAGAACGCCACAAAAATCCTAATTTTTTGCATGAATAATTGAGCAGACGGACAACTTCATGCAGCCACGTGTAAGACGTAAGGCAGGGATGACAAAAGCAAGCACAGGCATCACCTTAAATTACTGATTTGTGGCCTTACCCATTTGATGGATAGAGTAGCAACAGTCTTTTCTATCTAAGAAGCACTGTAGGATCCACTGGTATTCTTTGGGTTGTTCTTTTTGCTTCTCCCAGTTCCAGTCTTTTTAGGGAAAAAATGAGTTAAAATTATTTTTATAACTATTTATTGCCTCTCTGCACTTTTCTGGAACTATGAGCTTAGAAGGAAAATAAAGGAGCTACACCTAGAAGGCGGGAAGGATCAAGTTAGAACATTCCTAAGTATCTTTAATTCTGATGGCAAAGACATCTGGAAGCTGATTACTTTCAAAGCCTCAGTGGGTGTAAAGCAAAAGCAAAACAAGCAGTTGACCAAGGAATTGACTTAGCCCAAGGGCTGGAGCTGGATAAATATTATACAGAGAGTGTGACAAAAGCCTTTCTGGCCAGCTATTCAGTGAACAGGTCACCACAAAATCCGGCAGGATCTCCATGTATCACCCAGACACCAATTGTCTCATCTCCACACAGCCAACAGCTTCATGGGGAGAGAGTGCTGTTCTGACGCACAACAGTTCACAAGGGAATACACACAATTCACAACTAAGGAAGCTTTAAAAAAAAATGGAATACTCCCATTTTTACACAACCTTCAAAAAGCCCACACTGAGCTTTGGAAAAGCAAATAGTTTTGTTATCAGGTATTCAAGGTCTCCTTATGATCAAAACCAAAATATCTGCATTTGTAGGAATTCCCTATCTGTGCCTCAGGCTAGGCTCGCCAACCCTGGCCCCAGAGCTACAGCGGCTACTAATCACTGACTGAGGACAACCACCGTACAATCCTCCATAATCTCCACTGTGGAAGGATGTACCCCCCTCCCACTCCCTCAGCTCTTGGAATCCTGTCTAATGGGACTGATTTCTGAGGCTAACTTTGCTTCCAAGCCATACATTTCTCTCCTGAGGTTTTGGAGAGGATTTGGATTCACAACTGAAATAAACTTGAAGCCAAAGGTCATTATCTCTAGTCTTCAGTCCTCTTTGCTTCTAGAATTTCTGAAATGCAAGTATTAAACTTCATATGCAGCATAGCAGTATAGTTCTTCCGAGGGCGAATTGCATCCAACTTTTTTTTTTTTTTTTAGCTACTAAACCATCCAAGTCTGGGGAAATTCTGATTAGCCGGCTGCTAAGCATCATAAATTTTACTGACGACAGAGATAAGTGCACACTCTACCTCAGTTATAAAATAACCGAATAGGAGGCATGCCAACATACTTCTTTACAAAATGACACCTTCTAATTCATCTTAGCTAGAGAGTCTATCTCTAAATTCTTCCTGTTGTTTACATTTATACTGAAATAATCTAGACTGCTGACTGTGTGGTTTTTTTTCCAGTTTGCTTTCCACAACATTCATTTCCAGAATAATCATCTTGAAGTGTTTTATAAATGAGCAAGTTAAACAGTAAAACAGATCTTCACTAAGACGTATGTGTACCACTGGACAAGAAGTTAAAGATCCACAGTCCCTTCCTAAACTGATGCTTTAGATCTGTTTCCCCCTGGGCAAGTCATCTCAATTTCTGAAGCTCAGTTCCCTCATCTGTAAGACAGAAATCACTACACTACCCAGGGAAGCAGGCATAGGATACCCTAAAATCTGAAAGGGAGACACTTATCCCTAAAATCTCCCAGGCGCTTCCCCAATCTTCTTTGATAACTGTAGTAGGCTCTATGAGATGGGATGGGGAAAGGAAACAATAGTTCCATCACCGCAAACCTCAGGGGGCCGTAGCCAAAGAGTTCAGCAGTCCAGTCTCAGCAAAGTTGTCTTTCACTCTCATTCCCATGTCAAAGTGGACTTTCACCCAAGTGCCTAAACTGGCCTCCAGCCAAGGTCGGCCTACAGATGCCAACAAGGGAGAACACACGTGTCTTAGAGAACAAGACTCAACAGCTCCAGCAACAATTACCAGAAGGTTCTTAATGAAGCAGTCTCCTGAGGAAGCTAATTCGGGGATTTCTTCATCATCCAATGGACATCGTTAGTGAACTCAAACCAAAATAGTGCCAACTCCCTCATTAGACATTTCCTCTAGGTCACTTACATCCTTCACCAGGCAGATATTTCAAATGAGGTCAAGAAACAGATTTCACCACCACACCCTTCTTCCTGCTCCCTTTGTTATCTTACTTGCTTAAGGACTCTCTCAAACAATGGCAAAGATGGAAACTCTAAATGGCACACCTGCCTCAATGTTCAATTCTGTCCCAAGAAAATAATTCTCTAACTCAGTGAATCACAAGGAAATGTTGGCTGGCTTTTTCTCATGAGAGCTTTGTTGGCTTGTCAGTCCAACACTTGAACTTGCAGAGAGCACCTTAGGACCTGCAGATTTGTTACTGATTATCCTTAAAGCTTGGCATCCATGCTAAACCCAACAGCAGGAAGTGCTGCTGCAGAGGTCTCTGAGGCAATCTAGAGAACAAATTTAACTCACCCCTTCCCAAGTGTCTGCAGATAAGGGCTTGAGCCAGCATCATCTGTCCACAACGTAGCATACATCCCCAACCAGCATCTGACGAAGGGCCAGTTCCCCCTGTTGGAAATACAGATGGATTGAATTTAAGTTCCTTCAACTGCCCTCTCTTGAAACACCAGCATATTATACAAGACAAGATGATACACATATAATGAAAAAGTGGCAAGAGGTATAGTCAGATACCATACAGGGTCTGGATGTAGGGTGGCATTTGCAAAAATAATGCTGAGTTATCCAAAATGGCCAAAGACAAAACAAAAAAAAGTGAACAAAACCTACCCTTGATGCCTTCTGCTTGGAGATCGTCTAGATATGCATGCAGTTCCAGTGGGTGACTGCCAAGTATGACTACTAACACTTAGTTCAGGCCATGTCATCCTCTGCCTGACCAAACTTGGCTTTACACAGCTCATTTCTCTGGGAAGCCAGCCTTACCTTAGCTAAGGAATAAATGCTACCAAAGATAATCACCAAAATGGTCAGAGGGATCCAGAAAATTGACTGTTCCAAATAGACATCACAAAGATCGAAACAGCAAGGACAATGTCAAATGGAAGGAAAAGTCCCAGCTTAGGTATTACAAGCCTGAGCTATGGTTACCTAATCCAAGTCCCATTTGTAGACCGGGATCATAGTACATACGCTGCCTCCTATCAGTCAGTATTCTAAGAATTAAACAAGAAAGCATCTTTGGGAGTGTTCCACAACCTACTGAGGATGATGTAAATATTTAGTATTAAGAGTATGATTACAATGTAAAATACTATTAATAAGTTAGAAATGTTCCATAACTTTAAAAGGCACAAAACCAGTTAATAAGTGAAATAGGATAAGAGGTTCCATTTTAAGAACACTTGAGGTAATGAAAATCCCATGAACATAGCCAGGGTGAGCTCAATATCCTTTTCCAAGGTACCAATGAAATCAGATAACTTGGGTGGCAGAGGACACACTCTGCTTTTACTGTTGTCCTTTCCCCACATGGAAATGTAAGAGCATGCTATAAGCATGATCTCACAAGACTAATGTGAAGGGGATCATCAGCCTTCTAAGAGAAGGGGGCCATGGTGGCTCTACCATTTCTTTTGTTGTGAGAACTGAAGAGTTACTACATGGAAATAAGAAGGATTGACCAACTTGTGAGCTGGAAAGGGAAGCTTCGGCTCTTGTTCATGGTAGGATGATAGGTCAGATGGAAAAGTGAGGCCCATATAAAGAAGAGATCATCTGTTGCCAAAACATTGAGTTGAACTGCAAAAGTTTTCCAGCCTTGCAGAGTTCTCTTCACCCAAAGAAAGCTAACAGTCTAGAACCACTGGGTACCAAAAATTGTTCACTTGTTAGTTTTACTGCTCTAGTATTTTCTGTGGATAGCCAAACAAATGTCTTCATTTTGGGGGTACTTACAAGAAAGGTTTATTTCACTCAAGCTCCTCGGTCAAACCCTACATCAGAATTGATCAGAGAGCCTTCCTTTTTTAGGAGAACGGCATCCACCATTTGAGTTTGGTAATCTATTCCTACAGGGCCATCCTACTACAAACAGGTCATGCACCTTGCAAACATTTTACAAATTTTCTCTAGAGGAGCCTATTTACTTAGTTTATTGAACTGTCCTTTGTTCCTGACAGCAGCTGGTACTGTAACAGCCTAGAATTAGTTCCAAGGAAATCCACTATAATTCATCTTCTAGTGGCAAGCTGCTTTCATTACACAGAGGAAAAAAAAAATCAAAGGAATTATTTTCTTTCCTTCAAGGTGCAATTGTCTTGTAGCTCCACAAAGCCATGGATTTAATAGATATCCCCTAAGTTAAAAATGTATTTGACATTTTTCTTGCCCTTAAAACAAGTAGTACTATCTGGTGCCAAAACACCTGGTGTGGGAAAGAGGCTTAAGATGTACGGGCATTATACATTGGCACCACAAAACCATTCCTGATGAGGACCTTCAGCAGTGAAACTTATAGATAAAATATGACTTAACTATTCCCCTAAATCAAGTTGTTTACCACAAGCTAATAATTCTGAGGTTTCTGTGAAGTCACTGATGACCTCAGGCAAACTATCTATAAGAAAGCACAGTGTAACAAATGATATACCTACCAATTGGCGAAAATTTCCTTCTGTATGTAAACCATAGACGAGTACTTATATCAGACAACAGCTTAGATTTTTCTGTAATTAAATAGGAAATTAAAATTAAATCACCAGAGCCCATCTAAAGATAAATGCCCTTGATTTCTGAGTCAGCAGCAAACATTTTCAAATAACCAGTCAGTGCAATTGTTATGGCACTAGGGAAATTCAGTGGAAACCCAATCTTATTTTAGCCAAAACTTTCAGCATTTTTCTGGACTTATTTTTCTTTCACCTTTGTCCAAATTTGTTGAGATACAATTCATACACAAAATTGTTTTAACTTCAGGTGTACAACATGTTGATTTAGTACAGCAAAATGATTTCCACCTTGGCATTAGCCAACATCTGCATTGGGTCACATAATTACCATTTCTTTATTGTGGCTTCCACATCTATGTTTTGTTGTTGTTTTATTGAGGGAACAGTGCATTATAACATTATATAAGTTTCAGGTACACATGACTGAAAATCAGCATGTGTCTATACTACATTAAGTTCGCCACTAAAAGTCCAACTTGATTCTTTACCATACAGTTAATCCTTGTTACCTGATGCCAGGTAGCTCCTGTCTCTGTCTTACTGAACTCCATGATTTTGGCAGGTACTTACACTGGGTTATGGCCAACAGCAAGGAAGAGGAAAAGCCAGGATCCTGAGTAAGCCACTAACAAGGCAGTCAGCCCCCTGAATGAAGATGGTTGAATCTCTCATCAGCACCCAATGTCCATTATCTAAAACTAGGGGTGGATGTGTGTGTGGCCACACACTTGTGTTTAATTGAAAAGTCACTGACCCTGCTGAGCAAATTAAGTATGTAGGAAGTTTATCAGCACCAACCAGGGCAACTGGCATTTGTAATCTAAAGAGATGAGTAGATTCACAAATGTCTTTATGTACATTTTGAAAGCCTGCTTGTCTATGTTTTATGACAAATCTTGACCATAGGCGCGAGTATAAGTTCTATGTTCCCATCTATACTTCCTTGTGGTTCTATCTCTCTTAGTCTTCTCTCTCCCTCCCCCTTCTCAACAACACATATTTGTATTCTGCATAGGACTTACAGCCATTATACTTTAAAAAAAGAAAGGAAATTAAATTTTAGCCTGTTGTTTCCATTTTCTCTCCTGCCTTCCCTTAGAGTCCATCTGTCTGGGTTTTCCTCCTCATCATGTCCACAGTGCCTAACACATTAGAGGAAATAGATGAATAATGATTAGGAGTAAGACTTTGGGAATCATACTCTACCTGGGTTTGAACCCTGACTCTGCTTCTTACCAGCTGTGTAACCTTGCCACTTGACCAGTCTGAGCTCCCAATTACTCATTTGCAAAACTGGAAGAAGAGTAGTACCTATTTTCTAGAGTTGTGACTATTCAACAATCTAACACATGGAGAGTGTTGAGATGGGATGGTACACAGTAAGTCTACAGTAAAGGCTAGCTGCTAACTCCTTCTCAAATATTCATACCACTCACTCCTATCTGTACTGATCACTGAGCCTTCCAGCTTGCCTGTATGCTAGAACAGTTGGGGCACATTGCAGGAACATTATAACAATCTCACTTTGAAAGGCATTTCCCAACTTAACTTTTAAATATGGGCATTTCTGGTAACCCCAGATTCTTGTTGTCATGGAATGCAGAACTAGAAGAGATCATGTCCAGTTCCTTCATTTAAGTATACTGGAGAAGAGAGTTAAGATCCAGAAAGAAAATGTGGGATATCTAAGGTAGGAGAAGAGTCTGAATATAAAAGGGTGTTCTTTACTAGCTCTCGGCTTTCTCCACTGATCAGGTCTTGCCCATCAAAATGATGAAGCCAAATTCACAAGGAGCTAGAAAATTACCAACTTCCTCTACTGTTCAGCTACTTCCTGTCCCTCCCTCCATGCTGGAGCCTCGGGACAGGATTGCTGCTCAAACCAATACAAAGCTCAATTTCCTGTCTCCAAGCTCAAGCTTTATCTGGATGCAGGGTTGTTAGCACTTTTCAGTGAAAAAGGGTCTTTCCCAAGCTACAAAAATGTAAGGGTAAGAAAGAAAAATTCAAGTCTCTTTTCCTTCTAACTGGAGTGGCAAAAAGTTTTATATGAAATCAGACAAATTTAGATAGTGCTGCAGTCAGCAAAAGATGTAAAACTACAAGTCTTCTTAATGTCTGCTACTGGGTCTAACAGCCATGGATGTTTAAAGGCACTCCAGGTGGCAGTGTCTTTAAGGCAGATAGAAAAGGATGAGAGGAATGAGAAGCAGGTATTCTGGACATCAAAGGCTAGACACTGGATAATGACACGGAGAATGGAGCCATGTCTTTTGAAATTGAGGGATTATAGAATTCAGAGGTTCTCCATTACAGAAAAGAAGACAAATACTTTTTCAAATTGTGCAAACACCTATGAGCATGTAAACCCACTGAAGGGCTTCTCAGAGCCTTGGAAGCACCACGTGCTAGCAAGTGACGTGAGATTTAAACTCTTTTGGCTACAAGCTAAATCTGCCTCGGAGCAGAATGAACAGTTATCAAGGTAACGCTCTGCCAACTAAAGCAGGAAAACCCACCCCATTTGGGTTCTCACAGACTAATGCTACCAAACCTTACCTGTTTTAAGGAGATGGTGTTTCCCCAAGATCCATACCAACTCATCCGTATCTGGAAACTCTTCTAAGTAGTCAGCAAAAATAGTAATCTGGTTTTCATACTTGGATAAAACTGAAAGGAAAATAAAGTAAGTGAAATATAACACAGGGGGCTTGCTTCTGTGGTTTAGTGATTATTACCTTTGGCCTGAAGGTGAAGGGTCATCGGCTGCAATCTAAAGGAAGCAAATTCTTCTCCTTAAGGAACAAAGACACTCACAAGGCCTCAAAACCCTGTAGTAGAGGGATTTCTTCTTGACCACCTCTTTTGACCTTTGCTTTCTCATGGTCCTATTTGGCATCATCCCTGAATAATTATTTGGCCAGTTATTTCAAAACCTTTTTAACCCCTGGGCCCTTTTTTGTAAATAGTCACTTATCTAGATTCTCCTGAGTACCTGCATACGTAACTTCTATCTGTGTCCAGGGAATATTTTGTAGTTTCTAGCAGCCAGTGGCTTGGAAGGGACTGTGAAAAAGTAATATTTGAGCTGGGAGACATAATGTTTTAATGATGATTTTATTTGCCATTTTATTCATATATGACTGCAAAGAAGGCTCTTAAGTCTGATGAAAAATATAACTTGCTTTTAGAATTCACAAATGATTGTGGTTATCTTTGATACAGTAGCAGAATAAAATGTCATTAAACTGCATAAGTTCACAGGCCAAACTCAGAACTCATGACCAGGTAACGCGGGGTGAGTTCAAATTCACTTTCGTGCTGCTTGTGGACAAAGGATCTGCTAAGAGATCCAAGATCGACTTACGGAGGGATCCTATCTCAAAAGTTTTCTTTACATAATGTTCTGAGAGAAATATTCCTGGAGATTAGTAGCATTTCCAAGACAGCCCACAAAAACCTATTTTAACCTGTAACCAGGAAAATCAAATTGATTATGTTTCAAAGTTTATGGTGCTCTCTTTATAAGAAACCCTATCTCAAGTTCAAAGCTAAGGGACCCAACATACACCTCCTTCCAGCCCCTATAGGGAGGGGTGCTCAGAGGGAGTAGGGAACCCTTTCGTGGAGCTACTTGTAGTCACAGGGACTCTCCCAAAGCAGTGCCTATGAACCCTAAGAAAATAACTTCTTGTGCAAATGGCTTTGAGGGCTATGTTTAATTCACTGGTAAGGACAATTTTTTTCTCTTTTGGCCTTGTTGTCTAAGGTAGGAGTGTACTGTTTTCACGTAAATACATGTTCCTAAATATAAATGAGTCGTACCTGATCATGAAAACAGGTTGACCTGCTCAAAACGCTTAGTTGGAGGTTGAAGTTAGATTTGTAGAATTTGAACAAACTGAAGTTACAATTTAAGTTATAATTTTAGAAACAGCTACCCAAGGAGCCTATCTTGAAACATATTACAGAAGTTCAGTCTTTCAAGGATTTAAGTAGCCTCTCTCCTCAAGATGTTTTAATCATTAAGGTTATACTCCCGGCAGTAATTCAAACCTAAAGAAGTTAGAAATGAGACAGTCTCATTCCACAGTGAAAACTCATCACTGCTGAATCCACCCAGGAGACTGTGCTCGCTTAGGTTTTCTGCCACTGGCCTTAGCCCCTGGCCCATGCCCAGGAAATACCAGGCTAAAAATGATCACTTAGGTCAGGCCATCCCCAGAGGGTGGTGGGCCAAGGTGGCACAAATCACACCATGTACCTTCCCACCTTACGCTCTATCCCTCACAGACTGGAGAAATCAGATTACAATGACTAGACAGAGAAGGTCAGAAATAAGGAGCTTGAGTCTCAGAAAGAGGCACTGTCCTGGAAGGGGTGAGGCAGGGTGATATTAGATGCATGTACAGCATGTATGCATACAAGCCATGGATCTTTTTTTAGTACTGGCCGGAAAATAAATCATTTCTCTATTGCCAACCCTGTCCATGAGTCATTGCCCAGTGATCCAGTCAAATTAGTACAGCCCCTTAAAGCCTGCGAGAAGCAAGCTGCTTCATTTATGATGAGTCTGACTAAAAGGATAGCCAAATAATTTTCTGTTGTTCTTCAGCCCCTGCTAGGCTAGCAAGAAGGTCATTACTGCCTTTATTTTTCCTGATTCTCCTCTTAGAAGTCAGACTCCCAAAATTCAGTGTGTCAAGTCATAACCGGTCCCACGCTACACATGGATGAAACAAATGAAAGACAGAACAGATGAGATCAGCAGAAGGAGCAATAACATGGGGCGCTCTACACATGTGGGGAGGAAGAGAGGCTGGAGAGGAAAGACTAGTGTGAAAAAGGACCTCAGAGAACTGGGAAACAAATGGTTAAGAAAGCTCCGGGGTCTCAACATACTGACTGAGAAACAAAGAGTTAATACTGCTAATTACTAACTTGCAGCAAGATAAGAACACTTGGTTGATTTACTGAAAGCAATACTGTTTAAAAACAGAGCAGCTAGAGGCCTGATGTGATTTACTCAAGGACAATAACCTCTGACTAAGCTGTCTCCATTTGATTTACTCAAAGGCAGCAATGTATAACTAAAAACTATCTTATTTTGATAACTTGCTTCCAATCACTCCTATTTGGTTTGAACAGCCCACAAGGCCATAAAGAATCTGGAGCATGTGCAATGTACTCCCTTGTGACCTGAAATTCATGCCAACCTCATTAGGTGGACAATTCTCTAGCTTACTAAAATCCCCCCCTAGGGGAAGAGAGTTGAGCCTCCATGTTCTGAACGAGCCACATCTGCAGAAGCATGAGCCACCTTCAAGCACCAGCGGATGAACACCCCACCCAGCACCTCCCTACTCAATCAACAAAGACGCCTTTGTCTTGCTTTTGCCTTCCCTTCTTCTTCTTCTTTTTTTTACATTTTAAAGAGTAAGTTTATTAGAAAGAGACAGGGGAGAAGAGACACTTGCACAGACACAAGAGGGCAGGAAGAGCTGCCCCGAAAGGGACAAGTTTGCAGGGAAAGAGGCCTGCATGGTTGCAGGCAGTTGGTCTTAGGAAGAGGCCTCCATTGAGGGAGGTCAGTGCAGAGAGTTCACGGCATGGTACAGGTCACGGGCAGGCAGGAGGCTGCTGCACTGCAGAGGGAGAGTGGGTGCAAGAAGCACCTGCCTCAGGTGGGCAGAGGAGTGGCTGCCCCGTGCTGGTGGAGACACCGCCCTGATAATAGACAGCCTCTCCCTGTGCCCTCCCTTCTTTTAAGGGCCCTTGCAAACCCTTACTAAGGAGGCAGTCTGTACTAGTACTTGGGGTACTTCCAAGGATGAACCCCTTCCACAAGGAGAACTCGCGAGATGAACAAGTAATCTGGGACATGGTTGAGGTACAGAAGTGAAATTGCATTTCCAACAGAATCTCTTCTAACATCAGTCATTTTTTAAAAAATATTTTCATAAACTACTTTTGTTTTGCCTTTCAAAATTAACAAGCCAGACATCAGCCACACATGCATTGCCTGACCTTTTAGCCCATTGAAAGACAAAGGTGCCATACAGGCAGAACTGTAAATACTGCAGTTTGATGCACCAAAAATTAGCTTTCACACGGTGAATTCCACAGGAATTCACCCTGTTCCACTTTAATTATAATTACTGCACTGAGTGTTGCTGGGTTAGCTTAGTGGTCAGCTAATAATTGAACAAAGACTTCCTCAAACTCCTGGAACCAGTAAAGTCTCCTAATCATGACCAGAGACTCTGTGTACATGTTGGAGCATGCCTTCAACACTCAGGCAGTTGACAACTCTTAGGCTTCCCTTTGTGCTTATGCAGAGCAGGAGAGCAGAACAATAGCTTCGAATCCTCTTGGGTCCTGCCTAAGAATTTGCACGGCCCTGGGACACACACAGCCTGATCATGCACGTGGGCTTCTGGATCCCAGAAGATATACCCAAACTTTCCAAACCCTCTATGAACATCTTTTTCTCCAGCTTTGCTTTTTTTTTTTTTTTTT